TCCCTCCACAGATTTTCTATGGGGTTGAGGTCTGGAGACTGGCTAGGCCACTCCAGGACTTTCAAATGCTTCTTAGCTTCTTAGCTTTGAAAGTAATACGGTCAAATACTTTTCAAGTATGTGTAGAAACAAGTTTAACATTTGAGTCCTCAACCTGTTAAAATAAAAGTGCCTCAGATTTCTTACAAAGGAAAATGTTTTCTCTCATTTATCAATAACTTCAAATAAACACGAGTAATCCTGAGTACTCACTTATCAACTTAGAAAATAAATATGAGAATATCTCAAATTTCTTAGTATGGAAAAAAAAATGACATTCAAGTGCCCTCTTATTAGCAGATTCAAAAATAAATCATCCCAATTCATGGGACCACAAAAGTAAACGTAGTACTGACTCTCCTAACAAAGACCAAAAAAGTGCATCTCAAACCTGTAACATGCCAAATATTTAAGTTCCTGGAATCGATTCTGAATCTTTATAAATAAGAATCCCGATTCAGACTTGAATCGATTTCTTTCAGCACCTCTACTAACTATGTATGTATGTATGTATGTATGTATGTACAGGTGCTGGCCAGTAAATTAGAATATCATCAAAAGGTTGAAAATATTTCAGTAATTCCATTCAAAACGTGAAACTTGTACATTATATTCATGCAATGCACACAGACCAATGTATTTCCGATGTTTATTACGTTTAATTTTGATATTTATAGGTGACAACCAATGAAAACATCAAATCTGGTATCTCAGAAAATTAGAATATTCTAAAGGCCAATGAAAAAATGTTTGTTTCTCTAATGTTGGCCAACTGAAAAGAATGAACATGAAAAGAATGTGCATGTATAGCACTCAATACTTAGTCGGGGCTCCTTTTGCCTCAATAACTGCAGTAATGCGGCGTGGCATGGACTCGATCAGTCTGTGGCACTGCTCAGGTGTTATGAGAGCCCAGGTTGCTCTGATAGTCGTCTTCAGCTCCTCTGCATTGTTGGGTCTAGCGTATTGCATCCTCCGCTTCACAATACCCCATAGATTTTCTATGGGGTTAAGGTCAGGCGAGTTTGCTGGCCAATCAAGGACAGGGATACCATGGTCCTTGAACCAGGTGCTGGTGGTTTTGGCACTGTGTGCAGGTGCCAAGTCCTGTTGAAAGGTGAAGTCTGCATCCCCATGAAGTTGGTCAGCAGCAGGAAGCATGAAGTGCTCTAAAACTTCCTGGTAGACGGCTGCATTGACCCTGGACCTCAGGAAACAGAGTGGGCCAACACCGGCAGATGACATGGCACCCCACACCATCACTGACGGTGGAAACTTTACACTGGACCTCATGCAACGTGGATTCTGTGCTTCTCCGCTCTTCCTCCAGACTCTGGGTCCTTGATTTCCAAAGGAAATGCAGAACTTGCTTTCATCAGAAAACATAACTTTGGACCACTCAGCATCAGTCCAGTCCTTTTTGTCCTTGGCCCAGGCGAGACGCTTCTTGCGCTGTTTCTTGTTCAAGAGTGGCTTGACACACGGAATGCGACACCTGAATCCCATGTCTTTCATGAGTCTCCTCGTGGTGGTTCTTGAAGCGCTGACTCCAGCTGCAGTCCACTCTTTGTGGATCTCCCCCACATTTTTGAATGGGTTTGTCGTCACAATTCTCTGCAGGGTGCGGTTATCCCTAGAGCTTGTACACTTTTTTCTACCACATTTTTTCCGTCCCTTCGCCTGTCTGTTAATGTGCTTGGACACAGAGCTCTGCGAACAGCCAGCTTCTTTAGCAATCACCTTTTGTGTCTTGCCCTCCTTGTGCAAGGTGTCAATGATTGTCTTTTGGACAGCTGTTAAGTCAGAAGTCTTCCCCATGATTGTGGTGCCTTCAAAACAAGACTGAGGGACCTTTTAAAGGCCTTTGCAGGTGTTTTGAGTAAATCAGCTGATTAGAGTGGCAGCAGGTGTCTTCTATATTCAGCCTTTTCAGAATATTCTAATTTTTTGAGATACCAAATTTGGAGTTTTCATTAGTTGTCACTTATGAATATCTAATTTAAATGTAATGAACATTGGAAATACATTGGTCTGTGTGCATTGCATGAATATAATGTACAAGTTTCACGTTTTGAATGGAATTACTGAAATATTTTCAACCTTTTGATGATATTCTAATTTACTGGCCAGCACCTGTATGTATGTATGTATGTATGTATGTATGTATGTATGTATGTATGTATGTATGTATGTATGTATGTATGTATGTATGTATGTATGTATGTATGTATGTATGTATGTATGTATGTATGTATGTATGTATGTATGTATGTATGTATGTATGTATGTATGTATGTATGTATGTATGTATGTATGTATGTATGTATGTATGTATGTATGTATGTATGTATGTATGTATGTATGTATGTATGTATGTATGTATGTATGTATGTATGTATGTATGTATGTATGTATGTATGTATGTATGTATGTATGTATGTATGTATGTATGTATGTATGTATGTATGTATGTATGTATGTATGTATGTATGTATGTATGTATGTATGTATGTATGTATGTATGTATGTATGTATGTATGTATGTATGTATGTATGTATGTATGTATGTATGTATGTATGTATGTATGTATGTATGTATGTATGTATGTATGTATGTATGTATGTATGTATGTATGTATGTATGTATGTATGTATGTATGTATGTATGTATGTATGTATGTATGTATGTATGTATGTATGTATGTATGTATGTATGTATGTATGTATGTATGTATGTATGTATGTATGTATGTATGTATGTATGTATGTATGTATGTATGTATGTATGTATGTATGTATGTATGTATGTATGTATGTATGTATGTATGTATGTATGTATGTATGTATGTATGTATGTATGTATGTATGTATGTATGTATGTATGTATGTATGTATGTATGTATGTATCTATCTATCTTTACAGCAATCCTCTTACTAAGCAAGCATATAGCGACTGTGGAGAGGAAAACTCCTTTTTAACGGGAAGAAACCTCCAGAGGATCCTGGCTCAGTATAAGCAGCCATCGTCCATGACTCGCGCGCACACACACACACTAGCAGGGATTGGTGCCCACATGATTATTTTTATCTTTATTTGAATTCCTGGTGATGAAATATTTATTTGCAAACATGAAACCCCTGAAGACAGCAGGCTGAGTGGTGTGTGTGTGTCCTCCTCAGACGGGGTTTGACAGCATGGATCCGTTCATCCCAGTTTCGGTTCCTGACTACAGCGAGAAGGAGTTTGAGAGCTGTTACCTTTACTACATGGACCGCAACTGGCTGCAGCATCCGCAGAGTAACAGCCTTCGATCAATAACTCGATGTCGATGTGGTGTTTAAGCAGGTTTCCTCCTTAACTTTGTTTTTTTTTTCCCACCAGGTCGGCAAGAAGACGGGAAGAAGGAGCTCATCTTTCTGAGCAACAGGAATCCATCTTTGTTTGAGAGACTTTGTGGTTTCTTATAAAAAAACTTTTCTTCCCTAAAATGCAGGAAACTTATTGTACCACGAACGCGTAACCCTGTTTCACGTCTAAAGTGTGTATCCAGCTGTAAACCTTGTGCTGTTTTGTTAATAAAATATTAACATGAATTCATATGGTTGACTTTTATTTTCACATAAATACAAATATTCACTTATGTGCTGTCATAGTAAGTTACTGCAGTCATCTGTTTTTTAAACCCTAGCATCTACTTTTACCCGAGTGATGGATCTCAATACTTTTGACACCTCTGGCCGGGAGTAATGCCTTACAAAAGTAACCAGTTTGAAGATTTTTACTTAAGTAAAAGTATGGATGTTGCAATGTAGTCAGCTCTCCAGTTTGTTGCATCTCTCACATAAACTAAGCAGGACCATTCAGATGAGCCTCACCTGTTGGAGAGGACATTTGTCTTTGACAGGGGTGGTTCTAGGGGGGGGTTCCAGGATGGGCTGGTGCCACCCTGTCAGCCAGCTTGGACCCCCTCTCCCTGTGCCTCCTCTGCTGATGGCAGGGCCTAATCATTAGGAAGTACTGGTTTATTTTGTGTTGATTTAGCCTTATGCAAGATGTGGAACCAAAGCATTCATCGGGAATAGTAAAGGGACCCTGTTGTGATTATTTTCAAGTTGTTACTGTGATAAATAAGTCAGACAATGCATTTTTTTTGCAACTAATTGAAAAGCGTTTGTATCTAAAGTGAATTGCTGTTATATTGTAATTAAATGGTAAATGGCCTGTATTTGATATAGCGCCTTCTAGAGTCCTGGAACCCCCAAGGCGCTTTACAACACAGTCATTCACCCATTCACACACTGGTGGGGATGAGCTACAATGTAGCCACAGCTGCCCTGGGGCGCACTGACAGAGGCGAGGCTGCCGAGCACTGGCGCCACCGGTCCCTCCGACCACCACCAGCAGGCAACGTGGGTTAAGTGTCTTGCCCAAGGACACAACGACAGCGACAGACTGGGCGGGGATCGAACCTGCAACCTTCCGATTACGGGGCGAGCACTTAACTCCTGTGCCACCGTCGCCTCTAATTACTAAAAGTGGATATAAAAGCATGTTTTTAATGTTTTCTTATGAAGATGCCTCTGAAAGACAGCCCCCCTCGTGAATGATGGAATGTTTTTAAAGTTAAAATTCCACCTTCAGACCAACGAGGTCCTGTGAGAACACACACACAATACATAATTTACTAAAATAAACTGAATTCAATCCCCATCAGGATGCTAAACTCCAGAGGCGTGGACTCGAGTCACATGACTTGGACTCGAGTCATTTTAATGACTTCTGACTTGACTTGATAAAATCTATGAAGACTTTATGACTTGATTCTGACTTGAACACCAATGACTTGCAACTTGAATGGACTTGCGTCTGTTGACTTGAGCATATTTCATATTTTAGCACAAAAGAGGCCCGACATGGACACAAATCACGACTCGTACTTCGTTCTGGGTTTGATTTACTGCTGAATGCAGCAGCACTTGTTTTCAGTTTCACTTCCTGCTTGTTTGAGCAAATAAATGAAGCTTTAAGAAGCTTTATTTCTGTAATTTATTCATTATTATTGTCATTAAATTGAAGTTGGACAGATGACTTGATTATGACTTGAAAATTCAAAGTTAAGGACTTGGACTTCCACATCATTGACTTTGGACTCGACTTAGACTTGTCTTTGACTCGTGACTTGACTGAGACTTGTGACTTACCAGTGACTCGACTCGCAAAGCAATGACTTGGTCACACCTGTACCAAACTCCCATATTTGAGTGTAAATTTGGGAAAAACCGAAACAGGACAACCCGTTCAGCTCATTTCCGGTTAGGTATTTTTTTTATTCCAATTAAAAACAACCTGAATATATGTTTATCCCTTCAAATTCATTCAGTTCTGTTTGAATCGCGACGCCACCTGGTGGAGCTGCTGGTTACTGCAGCACGGGTTCTTCACGTGATCTACTCAGATGTCACGTGACCCGAAAGACATAGCAAGTCTGGGCCACTTCCATCGACATGCATACCACTTCAGGTGAGGTTACTTACAGGCTGGGGACATGTCAGAGACGCTCCTGTCACAACCTTAGAGGTAAACGTCGTTTTCTCACTCCGAGTGACGTCATAACATTAAAACGCGTCTGTCAGCTGAATGTAAACAACAGAGTCGCTGTTTGGTTTAACTTGGATGCGTTTTTCAGCCGCTGCAATGGTGCGTTCATGGACATCAGGTTTACTTCTGCTGCTTGTTTTGCTGTCGGCAGGAGTCCTCTCCTGCGCAGGTAACCGACATTTTTCAGACAAACGCTACGTTTTCTGTGTTCAGAACTAATTCTCTCATCGCGCGTGCCCTCCTCCCAGGCAGCAGTAAATGTGTCGGCAGGGACTTTGGCTATGGCTCTGTGGTGTGTGAGTGTAACTCTACCTACTGCGACAGTGTTGGCCCGGTCACTCTGCCCCCTCTGGGTCAGTACTCCACATATCTGAGCAGCATGGCAGGCAGCAGGCTGGAGGTGGGTCAGGGTCAGGTCCAGGTGAACAGCTCTGGAGCAGGTGAGTGTGTGTGTGTGTGTGTGTGTGTGTTATTCTGATGTTCCTTTTGGGTTTCTGTCAGCTCTCAGGTTGACGATCAGAAGCGAACAGAAGTATCAGAAGATCAGGGGGTTCGGTGGAGCCATGACCGATGCAGCAGCCATCAACATCCTCTCACTTTCTGCTGGAGCGCAGGAGCAGCTGCTGCGACAGTACTTCTCCAGCGAAGGCGAGTAACCTTCGGACAGGTGTTTAAAGGAAGGTCAGGGGTGTAAGTTACAACATTTCCGTTGTTATCAGTGGGATCTAGGTTATGGTGGTGTTCTGAACAAGCGCCCCGCCCCCATTTTGCTTAAACAGAAAACGACGTAGACATTCATTCATGAGATTTTGTTATGCACACCACATGAAAAACACGTTTGCAGATTTGCACAAAGATTCAACTGGTCTGTACTTGTTTTTCCAAAATAAAAGCTTTGGTGTCTAGCACGCATTTGTATGAGTCCTGTCCTAAACTCCTCCACACGGGAACCGAATGTCCGTGACCTGGCCGCGTTTTGATTGTGTGTCGTTATCAGGCATCGGCTACAGCGTTGTGCGTGTCCCCATGGCCAGCTGTGACTTCTCCACTCGCCTCTACACCTACGCCGACACACCCGGGGACTACAACCTGGACAGCTTCGCTTTGGCCTCAGAGGACACGGACATGAAGGTCTGTCTTTATCCCGGTCTCCTCGGATGTAACAGAGATAATGGAGAGAATATAACTAAACAAGGTCAGGAGTGAGTTATGAGGACACCAGCTTTTGTCAGAGCTGTATCAGTGGAAACACTTTAATCAGACAATAATAAGAGATTAGTCCTGCTGGATCGAACGACACGTCACCAAATCCTGGTTTTTTTTCACCGTTTTCAACAAAAATCCTTCTGGCGTGGTTGTTCTCACAGATCCCTCTTCTGCAGCGAGCCCAGGCCATGTCTCCTCAGCCTCTGTCTCTCCTGGCCAGTGCCTGGAGCGCCCCCGCCTGGATGAAAACTAACAATGCCCTCACAGGAAAAGGCTCCCTGAAGGGCAAACCTGGAGGCAAGGAGCACAAAACATGGGCTCAATACTACATCAGGTCATTTATCAGACTTCCCCCCTCCTTTTATGTCGAAATGCCTTTGCATGCTCTATAACTTCATTCTGAAAGGTGCTTTATTTCCCCTCTTTCAGGTTCCTCCAGGAATATGCCAAATATAACTTAACCTTCTGGGCCCTGACTACAGGAAATGAGCCCTCTGCAGGACTTCTAACAAACTATAGGTGTCTAGTCGTTAAACTTTACAGCTGATTTTAACTTTAACATTATGAGGTGTTGAAGGAGACGTTAAGAGATCGTCTTGTTGCAGCTTTCAGGCTCTGGGCTTCACTCCTTGGGAGCAGAAGGACTGGGTCGCTATGGATTTGGGCCCCGCAGTGCATTCCTCATCATTCCCTCACACACACATCCTCATTCTGGATGACAACCGTCTGCTGCTGCCCTTCTGGGCCAAAGTGGTGAGTCTGAGGATGGAGAGGCACGGCAGCGGGGAAGGACACGGCTCATTTAGTTCCAGTTCAATTCAAGTTTGTTTACAAAGCGCCAAATCACAACAAGAGTCGTCTCAAGGCACTTCACACGGTAAACATTCCAGTACAGGTCAGTTCATTAAGCCAATCAGAAAAAAAAAAGTTTCCTGTGTAAGGAACCCAGCAAATTGCATTTACAGCAGTCCTCATACTAAGCAAGCATGTAGCGACTGTGGAGAGGAAAACTCCCTTTTAACAGGAAGAAACCTCCAGAGGATCCTGGCTCATTATAAGCAGCCATCCTCCACGACTCACTGGGGATGGAGAAGACCGAGCAGACACACACACACACACACACACACACACACACACACACACACACACACACACACACACACACACACACACACACACAAAGTCATGTTTCTATAGTTACATTGTGATTTCTACATTGGTGATCTTCTCAGTCCCTACACCCCCAGCAGGTCCCTGAGGTCCAGTGACCAAAGCCTACTGGCTGTGCAGCACCAGGCTAAAGGTCAAAGGTGACAGATCATCTGCTGCTGCGGCCCCCAGACTCTGCCCCCCCCCCCTCCCCCCACCCCCTCCGAGCCAGAGATCAGTGGACTCTGTGGTCTCCTTTAAACTCACCAGTTCAGGCTTTGGTGGGACCTTCATCACCTCCCTCTCCTCCTCCTGCTCTTTTTATCGTTAAGTCTGATGAACTCATTTCCCATTTCCTCAAATTTTCAATCACAGTTTCTGTTTTTCTAATTTTTATGTTTTTTTTAATCTTTATTTTTGTTTCTGTGAAGCGCCTCGTGATTCTTATCTTTAAATGAAAGATGATTTTCGTCCTTCCTGTTCTAAAACATGTTCCACGGTTTCTACGAGCAGCAGCACTTCAGTCGCCGTGACTGTTTATTAGTTTGCTGCATTTACAGCCAAGTCGACTCGAACGCTCACGGGGCTGACGCCCAACCCCTGCTTTGGTCTGCTGCTAATCCAGGCAGAGTTTCATTTTTTCACACATCCATCAAAGCAAAAGTATTACCGTAATGTAAGATATTACCAGGCCCCGGTCTAAGGTTGTTATGTTTTTGTCCTCCCCAGGTTCTAGATGACGTTCACGCCGGGCGCTATGTTCATGGTGTGGGAGTCCACTGGTACTATGACAATTTGGTCCCTGCAGCGATAAGTCTGGGCGCCACCCATAAGCTCTACCCAGAGTATTACCTGTTCGGCACCGAGGCCTGTGCTGGCTGGAACCCACTAGACAGAGGAGTGAAGCTGGGGAGCTGGGCGAGGGCGGAGGCGTACGCACACGACATCATGGAGGTGAGAGGTTATCTGCCCGTGTGCTGTACCTGTTCAGTCAGATCCTGTAACAGATGTGAGATTGGACATGCTGAGACGGAAAGACAAGGCACCTCCCTTCACGCTGCAGAGCAGGTTGGAGGTTCCGCTCTGCTGCACGCCCGCGGAGCAAGCTGGAACTGGTGTTCCCTTTCTTCACTCTCACTCGGGGCAAACTGGACTCCTTCCATCCAGTCTGAGAGGATCCAGCTTCAGGAGGAACTTGATCGTGCAGATGTCCTCTCTTTGGCACCGAAACACCGAACAGATGCAGTAGATGCTTAAAGATGTCTGTGTTCTGCCTTCAGGACCTAAATAACTATGTTGTGGGTTGGACGGACTGGAACCTGGCGTTGGACCAGACCGGTGGACCAAACTGGGTCAAGAACTTTGTGGACAGCCCAGTCATAGTGGACGTAACGAGTGACGTCTTTTACAAGCAGCCGACCTTCTACAGCATGGCCCACTTCAGGTAGCTTCCTCGGGGTATCTGCAGGTTTAAGGGAGCCAAATTTCAGACTTTTTAAGACCTTTTTTAAGGCCACTTTGACCAAACTTAAGCTATAACCTCCAGCTATTGCCGGGAACTGGTGCTAACCACGTCGCAAAGGTGGGATTAGCCATCCAGTTTCCATTAAACTTGCACTTCCCCATGGCACAAGCTCCCACTAGCTTAACCAGCTAATGTGCTCATCTAAAAATAGCCCCCTTTCACAACCAACTGAATGTGTACGGTTCCGCTTACGGCAACATCGTACGCAATAAAAAGCTGAACACTAACTAGAAATTCAAAGATTTTATAGTAATAAAATAATCTTGTTTATTGGGTCTTTGGTAATTTAAAGGGACTTTATGGAGTTTTGAATTTTTATGCCCGCGATTGCCCCCTCAGGCCAGAAGCGTAACGGCAGCTTCAATAGTAGGCTCATGCACGAGGTGCGCATGCTGTACGTGCACACTCCTTAACGAAAATAACAGCTGAGACAGGTGTGTGTGTGTGGCTTGGAGGACAGGAGAACACACAGCTAATTAGTTAAATAATTTAAATAATTTGGTTCTGTACCTTTCTCTTCAGCACAGCCGACAAAGGTTTATGATGGGTCAGTCCTCCTGCATGCTCAGATCATTCCCTTCCCTTGCTTGAAAATTTGTTCCAAAATGAAAGTTGAACCCACATCTTTTTTATCTGTGAATTCAATGCCGTTCGGCGAGTCTCAAATAAAAATTTGGGCATTTTACTGTAAAAAAAATACTATTAATGTAAAAAATAAACTTTAAATAAACTATGTTCACATCCAGAATCAAACCCAGGTCTTCTGAACGAGAGTCTGACTTCTTACTAGGTGAGCTAAAGCGCCAGTGATGTTCTTTATGTGTAACATTTATATCCTTGGTGACAGCTGAAACAACGTCAAACCAAAGAACGGTTCGGAGTGAAAATGACTATTTTGTTGCTAATTTGCAGGAAATATCTAGAAGAAAGTTCTACAGAAAGTAGCTAAGGGTCCTCAGAAATGTAGCTAGCTTTGTCACTAGGCGTTAGGAACAGCGACAAAGTGGCACTGCCTCTCTCTCTGCTGCTAAAGCTACGGATAGCAAATGCTACGGGCGATGCCTGAGCGTGAACGCGCATGAAGCAGCCTGCTCGACCCGAGCATCTCTCTTTTTCTGTGATTTTACAGAAAAACAGGCAATCACAGTAAAAATGCCAGGGCTCATTCTACAGGACCAGGGCATTGCAGGAGAATGTATGAAGAAGACATTTATTCTATACATGTTTTGGAAACTGTATTTAAAGATTGTCATTTTTAAGGATTTTTCAATTCAATTTTATTTATAAAGCGCCAAATCACAACAAGAGTCGTCTCAAGGCACTTCACATAATAAACATTCCAATTCAGGTCAGTTCATTAAGCCAATCAGAAATAATGTTTCCTATATAAGGAACCCAGCAAATTGCATCAAGTCACTGACTAGTGTCAGTGACTTTACAGCAATCCTCATACTAAGCAAGCATAAAGCGACAGTGGAGAGTAAAACTCCCTTTTAACAGGAAGAAACCTCCAGAGAATCCCGGCTCAGTATAAGCAGCCATCCTCCACGACTCACTGGGGATGGAGAAGACACAACGCACGCACACACACAAGACAAAGTAATGGGTCTATAGTTATATTGTGATTTCTTAGTAAATATTCTATTTGGTGAGAGATAAACTTTAATTATAGATCCACTAGGATAAATACAATAAACGGATAAACTAGTAGTAGCACACTACTTTTCAAGGCCTTAAATTTGGAAAAGCAAATTTAAGACTTTTTAAGGACCCGCGGATACCCTGCTTCCTGTTCACATGGTCCTAGTTCCCCTCAGCGGGTTCTGAAACGTCTCCTTTTCACAGCAAGTTCCTGTGGGCGGGGTCACAGAGGGTCGGGGTGACGGCCAGCAAAGCCACGAGGCTGGAATACACCGCTTTCGTCAGACCAGACGGATCGGTGGTGCTCATCGTACTCAACAGGTACCACTGGTGTGACCCATTTACATCCCAGCAACAGACCAGCACATTAAACTGGACCGTGTCTGTGTGTCATCAGGTCCTCGTCCCCGATCCAGCTGGAAGTCCAGGATCCGACCGTGGGGAACATTCCCTGCTCCGCTCCGGCTCACTCGCTGCTCACGCTGGCCTGGAACACACACTGAACATTTCACAGCTGAAAACGGTCGATTCTCCTCACCAATGCTCACGATTTCAGTTAGAATAAACAAAAACAAACAAAAACCACTTCGTTCTCATCATAAACCTAAAAAAATCAGCTGTTCTGATATTTATCCACCCTCTACATGAATGTCAACCCACTGAAAACTGTTTCTATACTAACGTTTGTGAATGTCTGATTTTTATTTGTAATTTAATATTTTTAATTGTGAATCTTTTTTCTAATTAAACAAATAAACACACTGCAGGCCATCGGCTACAGTTTTTTGTCAATTTATTAATACATCATACAGTTTCATATATATATAATATACAGTTCAGAGTTTTCACATTTGCATTGCCATTCTCAATGTTTTCATTTTTCTTTGCAGAACTTAAACTTGTTGGACTAAAACTATTTACATCCGAAGTGATAAAAACAAAAACCTGTCGTGGTCTAAGAGGAGGGCGTGATCCCATCAGGATATTTACATCAGGAGGAGGAAATGTGGCGTGGAAGGCGTCGCTCGGGAGGAATCCTTGAACTATTTTCTTTCGTCTTGCTATTGAATACCCCGCTTATTTAGCTACAGGAGTGTTGACGCTCCTTCGTAGAGCAGTCGCCCACAAAAAGGTTAAAAAAAAAGAACCATCCAGACCAAATCTCCCGTAAAAGAAGCCAAACGATTCGACTCCCTGTGAGTAAAAGGTTAAAAGCTGACGTCATCTTTGTGCGTTACGGCCTCAGCTGCAGGGGTCGTGCCCTTCTACGGGCAGATAGAGGTTCGTGGCATCTGGCGTTCCCCATCAGTGTGTTTTACAGCCGTTCGTAGAGGGAAATGTGGAAAAGGGAGTCGAGGTCTACGCTGGAACGTCATTAGGCAAACAGAATGAATTAAGCAAACCACAACGAATCGTTAAGACGTCTGTGAGGGTACATGAGCGAAGAAAAGGCATTAAAATCAAAAATAAATATACAAAAAGTCAGGCGGATCATGACTGCAGCAGAGGTGAAACGGGGAGATGAGAGGCGTTTTTGTGGGACGTGGCGATGACGGGTGAGTGTCTCAAAAGGACCATCTCTCCTGTGTGCGGGGGTCCATGGAGAGGGAGGGGGACTCTGAGGGCTGGCTGCTGCTGTCTTCTCCGTTCAAACTCATCCTACACACGGGACACGTGTCGTGCTGCGGCACCACAGAACAAAGCGGAGATGTTAGCTTCCTGCAGTCCACCACAGGTTCAATACAACCAGCTGCTCTGGACTTGGGCGGCCAGAATGAAACGACACCAGAACCTCCACACTTTGGATTTGTTAAGATAAAACGAATGAAGCATTAAAGGCAAACATTTGTCCTAAACACACAAAGACGGACGCAGCGCCTCCACCACTGGTTGTACAGAAGCAGCCGTGTTTAGAAACCAGAGGCTGAAAGTCTCATCTGCAACAATCGAGGTGGTTTCAAGCACCAAATAACAGAAGTTCACATCCTTCAGCCAAAGATCGTTATTGGCTGACTGATGAAAAATATGTGTTATCTGCAAATTCTGACAGCAGCCCACAGACCCCACGTGCAGCGAAGCATCTCCCTCCCCTCTTCTGTCACGCTGCACAGGCACGCGGTGGGAAAACAAACATGTCTGCCATGTTTGTGCTGCAGCGTGTTGGCCATCCTGAGAGTTGTGATCAAAAGCAGCTGGACTTTTCTGGTTTCTTGAGTTGTGGTCAGGAACAAACACACCGAATGTGCAGCAAATTTCTGATATTTTGTCTTTTGCAAAAGTTAAATTAAGCTCGTTTTTGTCCCAGATCCTGTCAGCACTCAGCGTGGTGTTCTTCTCCTCCGTGGCTCTTTGCTGAGGATCTAGGGTTAGGTCATGAAACGGGTGGAATTCATACGGGTAGAGGCAGGTTTTCACCCGATCCAAGCAAATCTCACAATAATGTGAATATTTGAAAGCAATGGGAGGAGCCTGGTGGCTCGTCCAGTACCATGAAGCTACTTATTCTGCTCAGCCTTCTGCTGTCACTCATGCAGACGGGTGTTGGTGGGCGTGGGCTGACGGTGGCTGCTCCAGGTGTCGCTATTCCTGCAGAGCCTTGAAAACCACCTCCCTCCACCCAGATTGTTCTCTACGTCGTATTAAATCCGTTGTGTTGAAGCGTTTTAACGAGCTTCCCATCCCTCACAGACAGTAAAAGTTCAGCAGACATGTTTGTTTACCTTTATCTCGCCGTGCGCCTACACAGTGCCAGGGGGCGGGGCTTGTTTGATTGACACTGATCAGAATTTGCTGATCACATACTTTTCACGAGTAAACCGTCCACATGAATAAAGTTTAATTTCTAGCTGTCAAAGTCAAACAAACCACTCCAGTTTTTCCACAATTAGCCGTCAAACAGGTTTTGAAGCTCCTCCGCCGTCGAGTAAACAGTAAAATTATAACACGACGTTCGTCGTTTTGCTGTGACTCACCATTTCCAGCCACGGTACTATACAGCCCGAATGAAAGAAATGGTTACAGGGTAGCTGTCTGACCGGCTCTCCCACTTCAAAGTCCTCTTTGCAAACTGGACATTCCATGCAGCAATCTGGAAACACACCGGGAACAACAAGGACGTCAAATCTGAGCGAGACAAAATATTTATTAAAATGCTAAAATAAATGTCCGGCACCTCTGGAGTCACTGTGACAAGGACTGGGCTGCATGAGTGAACCAACCACACACTAATGGGCTCGACACACGGGAGGCCACATCGCCTCTCCTCCATTCATTTTCAATGAGACGTGCGCGACAAAGCGATAATCGCGGGTCTCCCTCCTACTAAGCGAAACGCGAAAAACGTGCGTGTGAAATTTTGCGCTCGTGCACGTGTCGTGCACAGGCGACCCAACGACGCGATCCCAGAAAGTTGAAACATTTTCAACTTTTCATCGCTGTCGCCCGGACGAGGACCAATCGACGGAGGTTTCATTCACTGACCAATGAGCGGACAGGATGCTCCGTACACCTCCGAGCAAACATGGAGGAGAAGTTGATACCTGCTGTGACGGATTTCCCAGAACTGTACAATATTTCTACCAAAGAATATAGAGATATTCACAAAAAGGCCGCGGCGTGGGAAGTTGTTGGTGCCTCCGTGAGAGCGCGGGTTGTTGCACACGTTTCGCTGCTGTTTCTCACCAGTATCAGCTGATGGAGGGCTCTAGTTTCGCTGCGCCGTTCGTGTCAGTGGACACGGTAGGGGCGGGGCATGACGCTTAGCCTGGCAGGTGGGCAAGCAAAGCCTGATGGCCTGCCAGGCTTATAAAGAGCTGGGGGAAACCCTGCACATCAGGTAAGTGTACTTTACAAACGCAAAATGTTTTTGTAAGTTTATCTAGTGCAATCTGACACACATCAAAACAACGGAAGATTCGATTTCACCATGGAACAGAGCGCGTTGACGCGGGTCGCCTCCCAAGTGTGTCGAGCCCATTAAACAGGGCAGCAAGGAGACCGGGTTCTGTTAAGAAATGACCCAAATGTGGATGAAGGGAAAAGAGCATAGACAAGATAAGCCGTGAACTGTTAAACACTTTATGCAACAAACTGCTGATTCTTTCCAGGTTCATGGTCACTTTGTCCTGTTTGGTCATCTTTTATAAAAGAACTCAGATGTGGAGGTGACGGTCAGTCGACGGCCGATATCACCTAAAATGTCACTAATAACAGTAGAAGCACAACATTTATGAAATTAATCCTAATTATGTACACTGCTTAGTGTTAAATCAAATATTTAACAAAAGCTAATCAAACTAATCAATAAACTGACCCGGTATTACATATAAAACATGTAAATAAATGTTTTAAAGCAGGGGTGTCAAATTCACACGGGGCCGAAATGAAACTCTGAGACGGAGTCGCGGGCCGAACTTAATATTTTTTGAAAAAGTGACGGAAAATTTGCACATTTTCTTTATCAACATGCAGTTTTGAACCTTTTAATTTGGAAATAAACTTATTTTTGCATTAACACTGAATGTGGAATAACCAAATTACACACGAGCAAGTCCGTTTTAAATAAAAGGCATCAGTGGTATTCATTACTTTTGGTATAATCAGCATTTTTAATATCTATTCAGGTTTTCTTGTTTATTCATTTTTCTTATTTATATTCTCCTTTTTGGATGTGGATCGGGTGGCAGACAGAGGCGGGAGCCTTGGCGGTCCGATCCCCGGACAAGAAAACTAGTTTTTGGGAAATGGAACGTCACCTCGCTGGCGGGGAAGGAGCCGGAGCTTGTGGCAGAGGTTGAGCGGTACCGGCTAGATATAGTCGGACTCACCTCGACACATAGCATTGGCTCTGGAACCCAAGTCCTTGAGAGGGGTTGGACACTCTTCTTTGCTGGAGTGGCTCTGGGTGAGAGGCGGAGGGCTGGGGTTGGCTTTTTGTTAGCCCCAAGCCTCTCTGCCTGTGTGTTGGGGTTTACCCCGGGGGATGAGAGGGTAGCTTCCTTGCGCCTTTGGGTCGGGGAACGGTCCTGACTGTTGTTTGTGCTTATGGGCCAAATATCAGTTCAGAGTACCCACCCTTTTTGGAGTTCCTGGGACGAGTGTTAGATAGTGCTCCATCAGGGGACTCCATTGTCCTGCTGGGGGACTTCAATGCTCACGTGGGCAATGACAGCTTGACCTGGAGGGGTGTGATTGGGAGGAACGGCCCGCCTGATCTGAACTCGAGTGGTGTTTTGTTATTGGACTTCTGTGCAAGCTGCAGTTTGGCCATAACGAACACCATGTTCGAACATAAGGATGCCCATCGGTACACTTGGTACCAGGGCAGCCTAGGTCACAGGTCGATGAAAGACTTTGTAGTCGTATCATCTGACCTGCGGCCGTATGTTTTGGACACCCGAGTGAAGAGAGGGGCGGAGCTGTCAACTGATCACCACCTGGTGGTGAGTTGGATCAGATGGCAGGGGAAGATGTAGGGATGGGTACCTTTGACATTTGAATCGATCCGGTACTAATTCCCAGTACCTACGAATCGATACCGGTACTTAACGGTACCAATTTTCGATGATTTTGAGTGTTTAATATTTTAATTCCCTTTTATAATTAAATATATATTTTTCTCAATTTATAACCATATTTGATAAATATCACGATAAATAACATACAACTGTTTGTATTTTAACATCGTCCTTGTAGTTTTATAAGCTGATAATTAAACTGAAGCAAAAATCTTTACTGTGAACTAAATTTACTGTGTATCTTCATTCCTTTTGCCGTCCTTTTTCATTTGATTTTTCCTACTGGGAAGGTAGAATTTCCGAAGAGACAGCGAACGCACCATTAGCTGATAACAACGGTGGCAATGGAAGCTAACATATCAAGCTAACGTTATCTTAAACAGTTTTTTTAGCTGCTGGAGCAGATTAAAACGATGATGCCTCACACTTAGATCGTTGTCGCTGGTTTCGTCTTCACCCAATCACCCGTCGCATTTAGTAAAGTGAAGCCAAACTTTAGAGCGCGTTCGTGTTCTTCTAGTCAGAATTTCGGAGTTCCGGGGAGAAAGCGAACGCACCATTAGTGACACGGAAGCTAACAAATCAAGCTAACGTTATCTTAAACTTTTTATTTACCTACCGGAGCTGCTCTGTTTACAACTCGCTCGCAGCGTCCGATGACATAACGCTCTTGTACATGCGCAGCTGTCTAGGCAAGTTCTCGTTGTGAAGGACGGGTACTGAAACGAGGCACCGTTTCAAATGAAGTGAATCGGTGCTCGGTCGGTACTATGGAAATCGGTCGGTACCTTAAAAAGTACCAAATTCGGTACCCATCCCTAGGAAGATGCCGTGTAGACCTGGCAGACCCAAACGCATAGTGAGAGTCTGCTGGGAACGCCTGGCAGAAGAACCTGTCAAGACGGTCTTCAACTCCCACCTCCGGCAGAGCTTTGACCGTGTCCCGAGAGCAGTGAGGGACATTGACTCCGAGTGGGCCTTGTTCCACTCTGCGATTGTTGAGGCGGCTGTTGCTAGCTGTGGTCGTAAGGTGGCTGGTGCCAGTCGTGGTGGCAACCCCCGTACCTGCTGGTGGACACCAGAGGTTCGGGGAGCCGTCAGGCTGAAGAAGGAGGCCTACAGGGCGTGACTGGTCTGTGGGTCTCCGGAGGCAGCAGACAGGTACCGGATAGCCAAGCGGGGTGCAGCAGTGGCAGTTTCCGAGGCAAAATCTCGGGCGTGGGAGGAGTTTGGTGAGGCCATGGAGAAAGACCATCGATCTGCTCCAAAGAGGTTCTGGCAAACTGTCCGGCGCCTCAGGAGAGGAAGGCAGCAACTCGCTCACACTGTTTACAGTGGGGATGGGGAGCTGCTGACGTCAACTGGGGCTATAGTCGGACGGTGGAAGGAATACTTTGAGGAGCTCCTCAATCCCACCTACGTGCATTTCGAGGAGGAACCAGAGCCAGAAAACGTGGGGATGGACTGTCCAATCTCGGGGGCAGAAGTTGCTGAGGTAGTCAAACAACTGCACAGCGGCGGAGCCCCGGGGGCGGATGAGATTCGTCCTGGGTATCTCAAGGCTATGGATGTTGTAGGGCTGTCATGGTTGACACGTCTCTGCAACATTGCGTGGTCATCAGGGGCAGTTCCTGTGGAGTGGCAGACCGGGGTGGTGGTCCCCATCTTTAAGAAGGGTGACCTGAGGGTGTGTTCTAACTATAGGGGGATCACACTCCTCAGCCTCCCTGGAAAGGTCTACTCCAAGGTACCGGAGAGGAGGGTCCGATCGATAGTTGAATCTCGGATAGAGGAGGAGCAATTTGGTTTTCGTCCTGGCCGTGGAACTGTGGACCAGCTTTATACCCTTGCAAGGGTGATGGAGGGGGCATGGGAGTTTGCCCAACCAATCCACATGTGTTTTGTGGATTTGGAGAAGGCTTATGACCGTGTCCCCAGGGGCACCCTGTGGGGGACGCTCCAGGAGTATGGGGTGGGTGGCTTTCTGTTAAGGGCCATTCAGTCCCTTTACCAGAGGAGCGTGAGTTTGGTCCGCATAGCCGGTAGTAAGTCGGACCTGTTCCCGGTGAGGGTTGGACTCCGCCAGGGCTGCCCTTTGTCAACGGTTCTGTTCATCACTTTTATGGACAGAATTTCTAGGCACAGCCGTGGTGTGGAGTGTGTCGAGTTTGGTGGCAGGAGAATCTCGTCTCTGCTTTTTGCGGATGATGTGGTCCTCCTAGCTTCATCCAGCTCTGACCTTCAGCTCTTGCTGGGTAGGTTCGCGGCCAAGTGTGAAGCGGCTGGGATGAGGATCGGCACCTCCAAATCTGAGACCATGGTTCTCGACCGGAAAAGGGTGGCTTGCCAACTCCGGGTCGGGGGAGAGGTCCTACCTCAAGTGGAGGAGTTTAAGTATCTCGGGGTCTTGTTCACGAGTGAGGGTAGGAGGGATCGGGAGATCGACAGGCGGATTGGTTCGGCGTCTGCAGTGATGCGGACGCTGAGCCGATCTGTCGTGGTGAAGAGGGAGCTGAGCCAGAAAGCCAGGCTCTCGATTTACCGGTCGATTTACGTCCCAATACTCACCTATGGTCATGAGCTTTGGGTAATGACCGAAAGAACGAGATTGCAGATGCAAGCGGCCGAAATGAGTTTCCTCCGTAGGGTGGCCGGGCTCAGCCTTAGAGATAGGGTGAGGAGCTCGGACATTCGGGAGGGACTCGGAGTAGAACCGCTGCTCCTCTGGATCGAAAGGAGCCAGTTGAGGTGGTTTGGGCATCTGGTCAGGATGCCTCCTGGACGCCTCCCCGGGGAGGGGTTTCGGGCATGTCCTGCTGGCAGGAGGCCCCCGGGTCGACCCAGGACACGTTGGAGAGGTTACATCTCCAATCTAGTCCGGGAACGCCTTGGGGTCCTGCCGGAGGAGCTGGTGGAGGTGGCTGGGGAGAGGACGGTCTGGAGCTCCCTAGTTGGGATGCTGCCCCTGCGACCCGGACCCGGATAAGCGGAGGAAGACGACAACGACGATATTTTTCTCCTGTAATAAGTGTCATCGCTGCTGTGACATCAAGGGATTTTCTATTCTATTGATCTATCTGCAGCCTTTCCACTTCCTGTTTACTGTAGGTTAAATCTTTTCTCACGGGCCAACAACAAAATAAAATATCATTTTATCTTAAATGAAAATGCAACATCTCACCTGTTAACTTTCATGTTTTGGAGCAGAAAAAGAGCATAAAACCAACATATTTAAAGCTCAGTTTGCTCCACTGGTTTACTGTGATGCTCACCTGTTCCAGCCAGATACCTGCATCATGGGGTTGATCTGAGCTGAGGAGGAGACTCCTGTTGTTTTGTTCATCTTCATCATAATAATGACAACATTAGATGACAACAGGTGCTCACATAGGTTTGTGCTGATGAACATGTCTGAGCAGCTTGACCACGTTGTTGTGTGTCGGGGAGGAAACACGACAGCAACCACAGAGTCGTGCTGGTTTGAGCGTGTCGCTGCTCGCTGGAGTTATGTCAGCTCTGTCTGGAAGTTAGTTGGAAAACTTTCTCTTTCAGTCGTGAACACATTACTGAGCGGTTAAAATCGCCGTTTCTGGGCTTCAACGCTGGCAAACAGCTGAGTGAACTCGGCGCTGAGTGAGAGGAGTGTTTAGTTTGTCCGACAGCGGAGCTGCAGACACCGGAGCTCTTAGTGAAAAAATACAAAGGAGGGGGCGCTTCTGCTCCAAGCAAACGCCGCAAAGCATCATGGGAGCTGCAGTCTTTGCGGTTAAATCGGCCAGCGGTTCAGTTTTTATATATTTTTGATATTTATGTCGCGGGCCACATAAAAATGCTTACAGCATTTGTTAAGCTGCTGTTTTTCTGGAGCATAAATGTCCAGATGAATAAAACTCAGCAGAACTGCGCTGCATGTGCCTGACCTTTTGGAAAGTGGTCCTTTCGGCCCAGCTGGGCGAAGGTCCGGTAACATTACCCGGAAGTAGAAATAATGGACACGAACCCACAGAAGTTCAGACACAACTGTTGGTGTTAAACAAACCACACCCCCCGCTGCAACCTCAGATACGAGCTGTGCAAAGATCAATGACTGATTTTACCCGACTCCTCCCACCGTCTAAGAGACGTTACTGACCTGCTTGTTCCTGAGTGATGCTGACAGTCGGAAGGGAAGAGATCTTCTCTTTTTCTGCTGGAGGAGGTCCTGTGTTTTCCAACTGACCAAGTAGCTACAGACACAGACGTTCGTTAAATCAAGGATGAAGATGCCGAGCTCTGAAGAAGGTAGTTTACCTGTGTTATGACTGCGTCCAGCCCTCCCTGGCCCCAAGCGTAATCTCCTGGATTAGAGTGCAGCATCCCTGTCCTGGAAGATAAAAAACATCCAGGGTGAAGATAAATAACACAGAAGAGGCACAACACCAAATTTTTCGTAGTGTTCAGATTTTACCACGATAGAGGAGGTGACCCAGGAACCCCAGAGTTGGAAAAGAGACCAGCGAGGAACTGTTGTACTATTCTGGAAAAAACACACGAGTGAGGTTTTCCTTCAGTCCAGACTAAATACATCTGCTGGATTATTAGACTAAATCAAGGACAAAGACATATTTCATTGATCATCTCATTTCCACGGCCTTCTGTCTTCTATGTTGTCGGTCACAGCTAAGTGACCTGCTGACTTCTGGCCTCGTGTGCGTTTATCAGCCAGCGTGTTGTTTTGAAAACCATCACGTCTGTGCTGATTGGACGGAGCGTAGCAGACTTCAGGGCTGCATTCGGGACATTTTTCTTAAACAAGCTGCAGCAAATCATTGATGAACTTCAGCAGCAGCCACACTGGAACATGTCTGAACCTTGTGCAAGCGCAGGAAACGGGAGGTAGACGTATAAACGCCTCCATCGCTGTGGGTGAGAGGCTGGACTAACTCACCCTTCTACTGCAGGAGAGCGATCCGGCCTACTGCTGACTCTAGACCTGTATCTCCTCTGGCTGTGCAGACGAGGCGGACGCCCCGGTCCCCAGTGATCCCCGGCCCCTAGAAGTCCCCCCATGGGTCCTCCTAGACCTGCTGGGACAGATCCCCCGACCGATCCACCTCCCAGGCCTCCCAGATCCCCGAACCCCCCCAGGCGTCCTCCGGGGAGCCGAGGTTCTGAGTCGGGACTGTCTCGGTCTGGTGTAAATGGCCGCTCCAGGAACAAAAGGTGCCAGAGCTAAAGATGAGGTAGCCAAAGGTAAGAAAGTAAATGAACAGGCTGTTATCTTTCCTCCAGCCCTAAAACAAAACCCTTAAGATTCGTACCTCCGCAAACTGTGTGGCCGAGTCATCCATCCCGTTTGCACCACTCTCCAGGAGACTGATGGGGGCAGAAGACACGAAATGAACATTCACTGTGTTGATCTAGAATAATGATCAAGCAAGTTTGATCCATACGGCATTTTCCCACCCGAGTTCCTGCTATTGTTCCAGATCAGCACGACGGCTGTAACATAACATGTTGTCTGGAAAAGGTTACACGAAATAGCTTCCTACCTGGAGTCCTCTGTTACTTCCTCTATGAAACCCGAATCGCATCTCGGACAGATGTATTCCTGGAAGGAGAAACGATAAAATCCGAGTTATGTAAAATTCTAACAGGCTGAGAAACATGTTCAATGTTGAGACCTCTGTAAAAACGCTGTTCAGCTTTCAAAAGAAGACCCTCTCTGGCGTTCCGACTCCAACTAGACTGATATCTCCACTCCTGCACCTACCTCGTCCCTTCAGGTATTGTATATTATTTAGGTCTGATCAATTATCTGAAGCAGCTGTACTCTCGCTCCGGTGCTACCGCATCACTCGTCTCCCTCTCCCCTGCAGCCGTGCGCACAACACCAAGCCTTTCAGCTTTCAATCCAGCGATCACGCGCGTTTAAACAAATAAAACAGCTACGATATTTCAAGATGGTGCATGACTACGGAGCGTCGACCACGGCTTATGCATGAAAAATTACTAAATTTCAATCCAATAGAAATATTTAGAATAGATTTTGGTAAAATTATTAAAAGGACACATTTGTGAACACATAATAATATTACATACTGTGTCTTTAATTACTTCTTAATCTCCTGTTGCGCCGCTGTAAAGCACTTTGTAAAGTGCTTTGTAAAGCACTCCTGGTAGCTACAAAACCAATCCGACAACTATACCAAATACTCGTAAAGATGATTGTTGATGATGGCAACACCACTGTCAGTGGCATGCACCACGCTGTTCCCCATGCTGCACTCGACCTCTCAGACCACGTGATGGTGCATCTGACTAACACGTAAAAAAAATTCTAACTTTCCAAGCTTGTCATGAGGAAAACGAAGTGGAACAAGGACTACGTTTACATGCAGCCAATATCCGGGTTATGATCGGGTTAAGGTCGGTATTCGGGTTTCTGAGTTGATCAGAATAACCCGTTTACAAGCATAAATAGAAAGAGTTACCTCTAACTTGCATAACCCGATTTAAATGCGGACGTTGGGGTAGCGTCAGGACGTGTGGACTACGTCCAGACGCAATATGCCTCATTTCCGGTTCTTCTCGTTCCGGTATCCGTGAAAACAACAACATGTTTCCCAGTTCGGAAGAGATAGCGACCGCATTTGTTTGCGCTTTAGTTTCCTCGTCACTCCAAAAGTGTGGTGCTGTGCCGCGACTCACCATGTTGCTCCCAACTTGTTGTTTAGTTCCGGAGTTCTGGCGCATACAAGAGGTCTCGCTACTCAAAAGACCAAGATTCCATGTGAACAGAGCATGCGCAGAACACACGCTTTGATGGGGACATCCCGATATGCGTTTACACGACCAAACATTCGGGTTAGAAAAGGGTTACCCCAGGTGTAGTAACCGGGGTTTTAAAAACCCGGTTATGAGCATATCCGGGTTTTTTGGCGGTGTTTACATGGACCTGCGGAACCGGGTTATTGTGAATATTCGGGTTTTAAAAGGGTTACTGGCTGCATGTAAACGCACTCAAGGAGGCTACGGAGGACCTGCAGGCATGTCTGGACAGTGGTGATTGGGAGGCCTACAGAATCTCCACCGCTGATGCTGTGGGAATGGCTTCGATAAACACCTCCCCGCGACCCCAGACACACTTAGCCAATGGCCTGAGCGACTTCTACTGCCACTTCCCTGATGCTACTCTGGACCAGCAGAGCCCCCAGCTCCACCACCAATCACTACTATCAGAGATCATGGCTCCTCCTCATCCTCCTCCCACTCTGCCATCCACCAGTCTTACGTATGGCAAATGGCCCACGTTTGCATAGCACTCTTCTAAATCTGAGGACTCCAAAGTGCTTTACACAAAGTCATTCACACACTGATCGGTGATGAGCTTCATTGTGGCCACAATCAGCGCCATTGGTCCCTCCGACCACCCCCAGCAGGCAAGGTGAGTGACGTGTCTTCCCCAAGGACACCACTGACAAACATGGAGGCTGAATTTGGACCGGCAACTTATTAATTAGGGCAAACTCCTCCTAACCCACCTCCTAAGCCTTCATCTAACACCTAGCAACTACCACCACACCATCCTACTCTATTATAAAGAGGACTGGAAACAAAAAGTTCAAAAGACGTAACGCCACAAGGCAGATGGACCCGACTGTGTCTCCTGACACCCTGTGCTGACCAGCTGTCTCAGATCTTCACAGACATCTTTGAAGACCAAGTTCACGGAGAAACCATTTTTTACTTGCTTTGAAAAATATGAACACTAAGTTTAACATGCAGGCTGAACATGAAACTGGTCTTCTACCCCCATTTTCTGCGTTAGCCACTGAAATAAGGTATAAGGGGAAACACTCAGGTCAGAAAAAAACCGACAGATCTACGTCGCAGTGTAAAGTAACATTCACGACTTAACAAACGGAAGGCTGTTGTTGGTTTAGTGTTCATGAAACAGCAGAGAACGTCTCGACTGGTAGAAGCTAACCGTTAGGATTAGCAACTCCACCACACAGCAGAACTCCTCCAGACCTGTGTTATTCGTGGGGATAAAACATCAACATCGCAGAGCGACCAGAGTCAATGGCAGAGTCGTGTTGCTGTTAGCCAATCAGAGGAGAGATGTTTGAATATCAGGAATAATAATGACTCCAAATCCTGCTGCTTCTGCCACCCTCTCCTCTGGCTAACTTCCTCAAACAGGAGCGACAGAGCTTTTGTTCCACAGACAAGGTGTTCACTCACACCAGAGACCACAGTAAACTTATGGGAATGAGGAGTAAATGAGAGCTTTAGTATTTCACTGGAGACCCATCATGTCTCAGCCCGCTTTATGGCCTCCAACATCCTTCCTGTCCCAAAAAGACCAAAAATGTCAGACATCAATTGTTATAAACCTGTTGCCCTAACACAGTGTTTCCCCTGAATAGGTTCAAGTGTGACACTGCGCCACAGCTACGAAATCATCCCCCAGCTCCCGGGAGAAGCACGGAAGCGCTCGCTGTCACCCCCTTTCCCAGACGGCGCCAGCATCAAAACAGTCTTGAGCGCGCATCCCCACCCCCCCACGGCAGCGAAACGGTCCGCGAAGCTACGCTCATCAACTGAGTTGGCAATAAATCTGATTCTGACAATGCACAATCCTAATTAAGGTTCGGCATGTCCATTTTTGATATTTATTTAACGTATTTTGTCATATTGTGTTATCAGAAAATCCCCTACAAGAGATTTACTAGCATTTTAAAAGTGAATTTATTAAATAAACTAAAATCAAACAGTCACATTTGTATAACAGAAATTGTTTCATTAACACAACCAGAAATGTAAAGCTGGTCTGCCAACCACACCTAATGTGCTGAGTGGTAAATTCAGCACGACAGAATGAGGGAAATGCACAACTGCATGCTTATGTGGAGTCTGAAACTAATGTCTTGTTCTGAACTGGATAAGAAAACCACACAGCAGTCAAAAAAACTACTCATGTGTCATTAACTCAGATTTGTCTTTTTGTAATTGATTACTCGACTAGTAAAAACAAACAAACTGGAATACACCAAAGCTGTGTAGTGTGATAAACTTACATGTTGCAGTAAATTAGCTCCCTGTAGCAATATAACAGGACTAAATGCTAAGAAGACAAGATTTTGGATCAACAGAACATAAGTACAGAAAATGAGATAAAAATCTGGGCAGAGCTAATAAGAAAACAGAAGCTGCTCGTTTATTATTGTATTATCATTCATTTTAATTCATTGGTGTGAGAATTTACACATAAAATAACAGAATTCAAGCTGTTGGACCCCTTTCCTGTCACCGTTTACACCCCAAGATCCAAATCTTCATCCGTTTCTGTTCTTCTCTTTAAACATTGGATTTTCTTCCATAAGCATTTATTCATTAGACTGGATGAGAAAATAACTATTGTCATATTTGATTTGCGATGTGGTTGTAAATTTTAACATGAGTTCAATTTATTTAAACCAACAAACAAAATAATATTTTTCATTCAAGACAGAAAAAATAATCAGCAACTGAAGTTGAGATTAACTTGTGTGAATATTCCTTAAAACAAGTGTGATGCATTTTTCTGAAGCTGAACAAGGTTAGTGTTTACACACTTCTATAAAATTACATTAAATCTTGTTAAAACTAGTATCTTCTACCAAGTATTCATTAGGGCTGGTGTGTAGGTCACAAAGTGCACCTAGTGCTGCTTTGACTTCACAAATGAAACTAAACATTAAGTCCATGAAAAATCCCCGAACTCGTCATTCCAACAGTATATTTGACCAGAAACAAACACTGAAAACAAAACTAGTCCACTGTCTCTCAGCTGAGTTTTAAATATGTCGTCTTGGCTTTAATGGTCCAGACAATCCGTGTTCAGGTCTTGTTCGGTGGAAAATACGCTCACAACACATTCACAGTGGGAAACCTGAAGCTTCGGGCCCTGAGTTTTGACACAATTACGCGTAGACACACGAATAGAACAAAACTTGACAGTGTCAAGTTTATAACCCAGCGTTTACCTCAAGTAAAAACAAATTAGGCACCGTTTAATTCAGAGAGTTAACAGCAACAACCGTTGCTAGCTGTTAACAAGCTAGCGGCGGTTTAGCTGTAGCAGACAGGCGAAACTAACTGCTATTGGTCGAGCAGCGGTGTTGTCAGTCGCGCACGATGTGGAATATATCACACATGACTAACCAAAAACACCGGACTTACCGGGAGTTTAGGATTTACTTCTCCCTTACAGCAGTGACAGAAAAACCGATGCGGGGGAACAGGCGCGGCCTCCGCCATCTTCCCCAAGCAGCACAACTAGTGACGTCGGTCCTTTACAACCAAAAGACACTTGATGGCAAGCCGGTTCATCATATAATAAGTGATAATTCTGATATTTATCATATGCATTTTCATATCCTCCAAAATGATTATAAGTTGTTTTAAAACGTTTAACAATAAAAACGTCTTTATGATAGCAGTAAATCATATGAAAATTTAAAATATTTCAGAGTTACCACGGTATTCAAGACCTTGAAATCTGCACATTGTTCTCTAGTGGGAATTCCAGTTTTGAGAAACAAATTATTATTCTAACAAAAGTTGTTCGACAGCAAAGTACGTTTAGATTTTTTAAACCGGAAACTAAATTTCTATGGGAATTTGTTTGTCCTGACATTTGGGAAAGGTATTTGAGATTCTTGAAATGTTGATTTTGAATAGGTGAAATATACCTTTTGAAATACATGGAAGGAACTGCAGATGTTTACTGATGAATACTGACTTCACCCAGTGTGATTGTGTACCTCTTACTTTTTGTCTAACTTATTAACACATCGAGCGCTTGAAATTTCAGTTGTTTTATTCTGATAACTAAAAATGCAATTCATGAACAAAATTTTTTTTATTTAAATTCCAAATGAAAAAAATGGGATGTGGTTAATTATATGCTACAACAACTTGCCTGAACCAAACGATCTCCAGCTCGACAGGGGGCGCTGCACTGCAGCCAAATCCTGGAGGGAAGACCCAGAGAGCGGAAGTGTCTTTTTTACCGGAAGTGTCTGTGTGTTGTGATGGAAGAGACGCATGTGTAAAAAGTCGATGCATGAAGGCAACAGCTACGTTTGCTCCGAAACCCATCTGCAATAAAAGGTTCGTGAAAAAAATAAGTTACGTGTATTTATTTTTCCTAATTCTTTACTTTCAGGTGAGCTAGCCGCTAGTAGCTTGTAAGCTAATCCACTTAATACAACTTTAGCTTCACTGGTGTGGACATTAATCAGAGACGCTTAAAACATAATTAGCATTTAATATTAGATGAAGTTTACATGTTGTCTTTTGTTTTATGGTGCTTTAGTGTTTTTTTAACCGAAACATCACAGTTTAAAGATGCTAGTGATTGATTTGTGATGCTTTAAGTGTACTAGTGTTTTAGTGTCCTGTCAAAAAAGTAAATATAATTTATAAAATACAATAAAATGACTTTCTTCTTGCAATAGGTTAATTTCTGTTAAGATGTTGATAATAAATCATACTAATTTACCTATTTAAGCCAACCACATACACAATATTCAGTACTTTCCTCACAACTTGGTACAGTCATTTTGTCATTTAATTAGTTTGTTTATTTTGATCAACTGTTGGTTCATATTACACTGATTATTTTGTTTTCAATCTGTTTCATGAAAAGCATCTTTTATAAAATGTTCTGCTAATCTGGTGCTGCTTCCGTGGGTTTTATTATCGTGATATAGGTGATGTCATCTAATTTACTGTTTTGCTTCATCTACAATAAAATACAGGAATTCTTCTACAAAACCTGTAACATAAATAAAACCAGTTTACTTCCATCCATCCATTTTCATCCGCTTATCTGGAGTCGGGTGGCTGGGGCTGTAGCCTAAGTCGAGAGGTCCAAACTTCCCTCTCCCCAGCCACTTGGGCCAGCTCCTCCGGGGGAATCCCAAGGCGTTCCCTGGCCAGGTGAGAGACATAGTCCCTCCACCGTGTCCTGGGTCTACCTTTAGGCCTCCTCCCAGTTGGACGTGCCCGGGAAACCTCACCAGGGAGGCGTCCAGGAGGCATCCTGACCAGATGCCCAAGCCACCTCAACTGGCTCCTCTCGATGTGGAGGAACAGCGGGTCTACTCCGAGCCCCTCCCGGATGACCGAGCTTCTCACCCTATCTCTAAGGGAGAGCCCAGCCACTCTTTGGAGAAAACTCATTTCGGCCGCTTGTATCCGTGATCTCGTTCTTTCGGTCACTACCCAAAGCTCATGACCATAGGTGAGGGTAGGAACGTAGATCGACCGGTAAATCGAGAACTTCGCCTTCCGACTCAGCTCTCTCTTCACCACGACAGACCGGTACAACGCCCGCATCACTGCAGATGCAGCACCAATCTGCCTATCGATCTCACGCTCCAGCTTTCCCTCACTCGTGAACAAGACCCCGAGATACTTAAATTCCTCCACTTGGGGCAGGACCTCATCCCTGACCCGTTTACTTGCGGATCTTATTTATATTGTATGTTTTTGCAGATGACAGCCCAGGAGGTACGACTGTGTGGTCTTCTGATGCGAGAGCATTTCGGGGAGGTGGTGGAGAAAGTGGGAACACACCTGCTCAGAAGTGGTGGCCAACATTTACGAGCCATTGTTCATGAAACTGGAGTCTCAGCGGACCTGGTACAAATGACAAGCTTCTTTCTGCTGGTTAATACTGAGAATATATTTGCTTAGCAGCTAATTGTTGGTGGTGATGTATTTTAGATAAGTAGAGTTGATTTATTGGACAGTTTTACACTATAAATGATTTTTAATCACACAGTACAGATGCTGCTTTTGCCTTTGTTTTTAAAGGTAAAGAAGTCTTTATGCGTGCTTATGCATCACGGAGCGTGTTCGTTCATCTCTGGTCGAAAGGGACCCGGCAGCCCCCCAGAGTATCAGGCAAGCTGCGATTGCATTCTGAGGATTCTGCGATACCCACGTTACATCTACACCTCTAAAACCTTGTACGGTGACACCGGAGAGCTGATCGTTGAGGAGCTGCTTCAGAGGGGTCACATGACGATGAGCGGCACGGTCAAGACAGTCGCTGACCGCCTCAGTCAGAACATGGAGGGTCAGCGTCTGATTTTAAAAAGACAAAAATCTGGATTTGATTTTGAATGGTTTTCAGGTTTCAGTAGGATTTATATTACGTGACATCAAGTGTCTATGTTGTTCTTACAGATGGGCAGAGCGTTGATTACAGCGAAGTGTCGTCTGTCTTTTCTAAACTGGTGGAGACGCATTTCCTGCAGCGCTGCCCTCCGTTGGACGGAGCAGGAATGACAGCCAGCAGCACTCAAGCCGGCCCCAATCCCACTGCAGCCGCCTCCAGCTCCACCCTGCCCAACCCAGAGAGTTTCTCCGAGTGCTATAAGGTGCCTCATGTGACCCTCGTCGGGCGGGGAAAGCGCCAGCTCGCCACCGAGGAGGGAGAAGAGCAAAGGAGCGCAAAAAGAGCCAAAATGGAGCCAGAAGTCGGGAACAACTCTCTTTTTTCACCTATTTATTCATTCCAACATTTCTCTGTTTCTGCTTTTATCATCGTCACACACGGTTGGTGTTTTTGTGCAGACTCATGGTGACGAGGGGATCTACTGGCAGGTGAACTTTACGCGGTTTCATCAGCACTTCAGAGACCAGGTGATCATCAGTGCCGTGGCCAGTAAACTGGATCAGGTCAGGCTTCCTCGTCAGGACTAAAAATACGAGTGAATTAAAAAAAAAAAAGAGTTGAACGTGCCTACAAAACGCTTATTCATTCTCCTGGATGACTAAAATGTTTTATGTTGTTTCTGTGTGTTTAGAGAGAACTGTCAGTCATCAAAACTGGATAAAAAAATCAATAATCAACAGTAAACGGGCTCCAGCCCTAAAAAACAATATTTTTATGAATGAAACCAAATCTCACTAATACATGCATTAGTGAGATTAATTATAGTTGTAGCTGTATTTATGTTCTCTTGGTCACTATTGTGTTTCAGGTGTTTGATGAAGCACTTTTTAAAGCTTTTGCATTTAAAAGGTCGTCGTCTTCCTCCGCTTATCCGGGTCCGGGTCGCGGGGGCAGCATCCCAACTAGGGAGCTCCAGACCGTCCTCTCCCCGGCCTTGTCCACCAGCTCCTCCGGCAGGACCCCAAGGCGTTCCCTGACCAGATTGGAGATGTAACCTCTCCAACGTGTCCTGGGTCGACCCGGAGGCCTCCTGCCGGCAGGACATGCCCAAAACACCTCCCCAGGGAGGCGTCCAGGAGGCATCCTGACCAGATGCCCAAACCGCCTCAACTGACTCCTTTCGATTTGGAGGAGCAGCGGTTCTACTCCGAGTCCCTCCCGAATGTCCGAGCTCCTCACCCTATCTCTAAGGCTGAGCCCGGCCACCCTACGGAGGAAACTCATTTCGGCCGCTTGTATCCGCGATCTCGTTCTTTCGGTCATTACCCAAAGCTCATGACCATAGGTGAGGATTGGGACGTAGATCGACCGGTAAATCGAGAGCCTGGCTTTCTGGCTCAGCTCCCTCTTCCCCACGACAGATCGGCTCAGCGTCCGCATCACTGCAGACGCCGAACCAATCCGCCTGTCGATCTCCCGATCCCTCCTACCCTCACTCGTGAACAAGACCCCGAGATACTTAAACTCCTCCACTTGAGGTAGGACCTCTCCCCCGACCCGGAGTTGGCAAGCCACCCTTTTCCGGTCAAGAACCATGATCTCAGATTTGGAGGTGCTGATCCTCATCCCAGCCACTTCACACTCGGCCGCGAACCTACCCAGCAAGAACTGAAGGTCAGAGCTGGAGGAAGCTAGGAGGACCACGTCATCCGCAAAAAGCAGAGATGAGATTCTCCTGCCATCAAACTCGACACACTCCACACCACGGCTGCGCCTAGAAATTCTGTCCATAAAGGTAATGAGCAGAACCGGTGACAAAGGGCAGCCCTGGCGGAGTCCAACCCTCACCGGGATTACGTCCGACTTACTACCGACTATGCGGACCAAACTCACGGTCCTCTGGTAAAGGGACTGAATGGCACTTAACAGAAAGCCACCCACCCCATACTCCTGGAGCGTCCCCCACAGGGTGCCCCTGGGGACACGGTCATAAGCCTTCTCCAAATCCACCAAACACATGTGGATTGGTCGGGCAAACTCCCATGCCCCCTCCATCACCCTTGCAAGGGTATAGAGCTGGTCCACGGCCAGGACGAAAACCACATTGCTCCTCCTCAATCTGAGATTCAACTATCGATCGGACCCTCCTCTCCAGTTCCTTGGAGTAGACCTTTCCAGGGAGGCTGAGGAGTGTGATCCCCCAATAGTTAGAACACACCTTCAGGTCACCCTTCTTAAAGATGGGGACCACCACCCCGGTCTGCCACTCCACAGGAACTGCCCCCGATGACCACGCATTGTTGCAGAGACGTGTCAACCATGACAGCCCTACAACATGAATGTTGTAGGGCTGTCATTGTAGGCAGAATGTTTCATCTATCTTGTAATTTCCATTTTGTATTTTGTAATTTGAATTTCTTTTATTGTTGATTTATTCAATATATTTACATACAACTGTACAATGTTCAGCGCTTTGGGCTTCCTGACAGGGTTGCGGAAGGCGCTTTATAAATAAAGCTTTGATTGATTGATTGATTGAACATCCATAGCCTTGAGATACCCACGACGAATCTCATCCGCCCCCGGGGCTCCGCGGCTGTGTAGTTGTTTGACTACCTCAGCAACTTCTGCCCCCGAGATTGGACAGTCCATCCCCACGTTTTCTGGCTCTGGTTCCTCCTCGGAATGCGCATAGGTGGGATTGAGGAGCTCCTCAAAGTATTCCTTCCACCGTCCGACTATAGCCTCAGTTGACGTCAGCAGCTCCCCATCCCCACTGTGAACAGTGTGAGCGAGTTGTTGCCTTCCTCTCCTGAGGCGCCGGACAGTTTGCCAGAACCTCTTTGGAGCCGATCGATAGTCTTTCTCCATGGCCTCACCAAACTCCTCCCACGCCCGAGATTTTGCCTCGGCAACTGCCACTGCTGCACCCCGCTTGGCTATCCGGTACCTGTCTGCTGCCTCCGGAGACCCACAGACCAGCCACGCCCTGTAGGCCTCCTTCTTCAGCCTGATGGCTCCCCGAACCTCTGGTGTCCACCATCGGGTACGGGGGTTGCCACCACGACTGGCACCAGCCACCTTGTGACCACGGCTAGCAACAGCCACCTCAACAATTGCAGAGTGGAACAAGGCCCACTCGGAGTCAATGTCCCCCACTGCTCTCGGGACGCGATCAAAGCTCTGCCGAAGATGGGAGTTGAAGACCATCTTGACAGGTTCTTCTGCCAGGCGTTCCCAGCAGATCCTCACTATGCGTTTGGGTCTGCCAGGTCTACGCAACATCTTCCCCTGCCATCTGATCCAACTCACCACCAGGTGGTGATCAGTTGACAGCTCCGTTCCTCTCTTCACTCGGGTGTCCAAAACATACGGCCGCAGGTCAGATGATACGACTACAAAGTCTATCATCGACCTGTGACCTAGGCTTCCCTGGTACCAAGTGTATCGATGGGCATCCTTATGTTCGAACATGGTGTTCGTTATGGCCAAACTGCAGCTTGCACAGAAGTCCAATAACGAAACACCACTTGAGTTCAGATCAGGCGGGCCGTTCCTCCCAATCACACCCCTCCAGGTCAAGCTGTCATTGCCCACGTGAGCATTGAAGTCCCCCAGCAGGACAATGGAGTCCCCTGATGGAGCACTATCTAGCACTCGTCCCAGGGACTCCAAAAAGGGTGGGTACTCTGAACTGATATTTGGCCCATAAGTACAAACAACAGTCAGGACCCATTCCCCGACCCAAAGGCGCAGGGAAGCTACCCTCTCGTCCCCCGGGGTAAACCCCAACACACAGGCAGAGAGTCTTGGGGCTAACAAAAAGCCAACCCCAGCCCTCCGCCTCTCACCCGGAGCAACTCCAGCAAAGGAGAGTGTCCAACCCCTCTCCAGGACTTGGGTTCCAGAGCCAATCCTATGTCTCGAGGTGAGTCCGACTATATCTAGCCGGTACCGCTCAACCTCTGCCACAAGCTCCTGCTCCTTCCCCGCCAGCGAGGTGACGTTCCATGTCCCAAAAACTAGTTTCCTTGTCCGGGGATCGGACCGCCAAGGCTCCCGCCTCTGTCTGCCACCCGATTCACACTGCACCGGACCCTTCATGTTCCTCCTGCGGGTGGTGGGTCCACAGTTGGATGAGCCCATGTATCCGGTTCGGGCTGGGCCCGGGCGGGCCCCATGGGCGAAAGCCCGGCCACCAGGCACTCGCTCACGGGCCCCAACCCCAGGCCTGGCTTCAGGGTGGGATCCCGGTAACCCTCCGGGCCGGGTACTCCGACTCTTTGATTGTAAATCCATGAAAGATCCTCTGAACCGTTCTTTGTCTCACCCTTCACCTAAGACCAATTTGTCATGGGAGACCCTACCAGGATCACAAAAGTGTCCAAGACAACGTAGCTCCTAGGATCATTAGGGCACTCAAACTCCTCCACGATAAGGAGGAGTCCTCGTTTGTAATGAATTAACGTTTCTAAGTTTATTTTGTTTGTACTTTTTTATTCTTAAATGAGAAGAAAAGCATTAATCGTAATCCTTTCAGACCAGCAGTGAAATAGTGAGGACCATCCTTCGGATGAGTGAGGTGACCACTTCGCCCACGGACTCCTGCACGAAGCCCCTCTCAGCCAATGAGATCTTTAGGTCCCTTCCTTCCAGTCACAACATCCCCAGGCAGATCCTGGACCAGTACCTGACTCTACTGGTGGATGACCCGGTATTTTGTCCTTTACTTCACACAGTGTAGTTTCCATCCTCCAAAGGGTGCTTGATTCATCCTCTTCTTATGTTTAGATGGAGTTTGTGGGGAAAATTGGCGAAAGTGGAGGAGGCATGTTTGTCCTCAGTATCCTTTACTTCATTGGTGTTTTTGTACCATTATTCTTTTGCGAATGTCAAAGAGCGGCTGCTTTTCTGACGTCGCTGCCCAGATCTGCACCGAGCATTAGCCAACCTGGCACGAGCCACGCTCGAGTCCATCGTGCAGGAGAGGTGAGTTTGTATGTGTTTTAACTCTTTGTGCGCCTGGTTTACCGTGTCAGGGATTCGATGTAAAACTTTCTATAACCTGTCGTCAGATTTGGCTCGCGATCTGCTCGCATCTTCCGCCTGTTGCTGCGGAAACGACACCTGGAACAGAAGCAGGTGGAGGATTTTGCTATGATTCCGGCGAAGGAGGCTAAAGACATGTTGTACACGCTGCTTTCACAGAACCTGGTCCAGCTACAGGTGTGTGGACGCTTCTAGATGGATTTCACTTAATATCAGATTTATTTGTGGCAAATGATTAAATTTGTATCTATAAAGTTGTTGGAAACCCCTAGATTTCTGTAATGCCTACCGGATGGTAGCAGGGTGAACAGTTGGTGCTGCAGGCAGCCCCGGAGATTAGAGACAGTGTTTTATGGATCACCGCTTCGGTTTTGGTGGTGTTGAGATGTAAGCTGTTGTCCAGGCACCGGTTACTCAGAGTAACCTTGTCCCTGTAGGCGTACTCACCATCGTCCAAGATGAAGCCAACCTATAGTGGTGTTGACCGCGTACTTGTGTGTTTAGCAGCAGTCGTGGGGGAAAAGGAGCACAATAGGAGGCCGAGCTCACAGCCCTGTGGCACTCCAGTGTTTTAAGACATGCGTCTTTCCAGGACAATAAGTTATCGTAAAAGTTGGTGTACTGTTTTTAACGACCAATTTGTTTCTATTTATGACCACGGAGTCCCGTTTGCGTCCAACACCGGCAGCATTTCGATTAGGATTTTATTGTCAGGGTAGAAACCGATTAGCTAGTAATAAAACATTCAACATTACATCAACAACGTTATTGGAATTAGAAAACACTGATATCTGCTTAAACTGTTGCCACTTAGTGAAGAAATTAATAAACATGGGAAAAGCACACGGTCGTTTGGAAGCAGTGGCTCATGGGGTTTAAAACTGCCATCGTCTGACTTGTAGCAGCTAACTGTGCTAGCTACAAAGCTAATGCTAGCCTGTATGGAAACAGAAACAAGTATAGAATCAATTTGTTGTTTTCCTTAAAAATTAGCTGTGCATTTTAGTCAATGTTTTTGCTCTTTTTTGTGTAAAGTTGCGGTTAAGTTTACTTGTAATATCCCACGTTCCCCACCAGGGGGAGCTGCAGACTCACACTAAGAGCTTTGATAGCAGACGGCTGAAACGGAGGAGTTTTTAGATTATAAAACCCACTTTGGCTGGCTTTCTTCCAAAGAGTCGATGCAGTATTTTAAGAAAAAATAAACTTTTAGCTCAGTTTGTCATTTTAGATTTGCCTATTGGAGTCATTTGGTGCTAAAATAGTTTATAAATTTTTATTTAATCATTTCTCCATCAGGAAATCCCCAAAACCCCGGACTTTGCTCCCTCCCGCACCTTTTATCTCTACACCGCCAACCAGCTCCCGACAGCGAGGATGCTGCTGCAGAAATGTTACAAGGTGACCCGCTAAAACACTTTCATCCTCAGAGAAGTTAAAGAAAGTTGCTTTCTCATTGTTTTGGGATATTTTTGTTCTGCAGACGGTGTCCAACCTCGTAGAGCGACGCCTGTTCGAGACCAAAGAGAACAAGTGGGTTTCCAAGTTGGCGTAAAGCTCTTCCACTGATGGATCCGCTGATTTGTTTGGTCTGACTTCCAGGCGGCTCCTGGAGAAATCCCAGCGAATCGAAGCCATCCTGGCATCTCTGCAGGCCAGCGGGGCCGAAGCCGAGCAGCTGACCGAGGTGGAGGAGATGATCAGCGCTCCAGAGAAGCAGCAGCTGGAGGTTTTAAAGCTTCATGTCAACAAGTATGACGGCAAAGCCAAAACTCACATTTCAGCCGGTTTTCTCAGCGGTTTCTAAATGTTTCTTTGGTTTTCTTTAGGCTAGACTCAGCAGAGAACCAAGTAGATGAAACCATCTTCCTTCTGGAGTCCTACATCAACTCCACGTGTTGAACTTCACGGCTGGGATGTTTCTGTTAGAGAGAGAATCTGATTTTTTTTATGCATCAGTGTTGAATAAACTGAACGACACTTGTTTTCAGCAGTTTTTATTCCGATTAGGAAAAACAAACGCCTGTTTGGACTGTTTAAAATATAAAACCATGAAAAAGTCTGCAAGTTAAATAAAAGAACTGTGGTTTATGACAATGTGGCTTTTCCTAAAATAAAAGCAGTGACTATTTACATGTTTTAACTCTGGAAACAGCTGTTAGTGCATTTCTGTTGGACCCTGATGATGCTCTTTGTCCTGGAGACTCATCCCAGGACCATCTGACTCTGACTGGACGCAGACTCCACCCCTTTGTGGCAGATAACGTCCCTGAAAGAGGCTCAGTCCTCGTCGTTTTCATCCTCTCTCCGTTTGCGTGCAAAGAATCCGAGCTGAGAAGATAGACGGGATTAAAAGAAGCCACTATTTTCTAACAGAAGATTTCAAAAGGAAATACCTTCCACAGGATGAAGATGATGAGCGCCAGAAGCAGGAAACCACCTATGATGCTGCCGATTAAAATCCAGAGCGAGATGGGGATCGCTCGGCCCTTCAGCACCTCCAACACGCTCTGGAGGAAAGAGAAAGATGAGAAAAACTATTTTCTTACCATGAAACTCAGAATCTTTCGTGTGTCTCACCTCCCCTCTAAGCATTCCTGCCCTCAGAGTGATGAGATTCGTCTCTTTAGCTGTGAGGTCAAAGTCACTCACGATCCTCACTGACTTGTACTTGGCCTGCAGACAGAGACACGTGACGACAGAGTCGTTCGATGAGGAGAAAACTGTCCACGCGTCGCTCCGGAGCTCACCTTTCTGAAAAAGTCATCATGAGCTCTGCGGCTGACTCGGATGACGACGTCCTGCTGGAGCTGCTGGACTTCACACGTGACCTCTGTGCACCACGACCTGCTGCAGTTCTGCACACGGGACAGGAACGCCTCACATCAACATCATCTGCAAACGTGTGGGAGTCACTTAAAGAGGGGGGAGAAGCTTCACCAGTATCTCGTTGTGCATCATGTCCTCAGGATGAAGAGGACGCACGTCTCTCTGTCTGGCCTTCAGCTGGGCGACGGCGCTCAGAACTCTGCAGTTTACCCCCGTGGCCTGTGGAGGAGCCTGAATACGTCACACACCACCTGAAATGGTGGACTGAGACACAAACACACACACAATACTCACGTTGTAGGCGTAAACGTCGGTGATGGTCATGAAGACCGTGTCTCCTGCAGCCACAGAGGGCAGAAACATCCGCAGCTCCAGGTTACTTAAGACGTAACAGCCCAGATTCTGCAGCTGAGAATGCAAATAAAAGCTAGTTTTTCACTTGTTTTGCAAGAAAAAAAAACAGAATTTTCAAACCAGCTCTTATTTATTTACATTTAGCAAACCAAAGAGGTCTGGATCACTAGTTTTGCCTTTCTGGAGATATTTCAAGGTTTTTCTTTGGACTTAGGCTTCATTTTATGATCAGTTTTTGTACCTGAATACAAAAGCATGTTCTGCAATTGAGCATGCAACAATAGGAAACGGGACAGAAGAGGAAGCGACAGACCATAAAAACTGTCTGCAGCAGACGTGCAGTCAGACCTGAGGGCAGGAGCGCCTCCAGAAAATTTTGATTGGGGGGGCCAGATGGGGCCAAAGACGTTTTGGGTTGGCACACCAAATTGGTCCTTGTGGTAACGCTGGGAGAATTTAGCCTGTGGCGATGTACTGCATTGCGCCTTTATTCGCTTTTATTAAAATAACAGTACGTATAAATTTTACAAACAAACATTTCAGAAATATACATTTCAGTTATTTAAAATGTGATATATATAATACATTTAAAAATGTATTTTTTGGGGTTAATTCACGTGTTGCTGTGTTAAAAAAAACATGGAGATAATTATTATTTTTTTAATGGTGAGCAGCAGATACATATGTATTATTTTTTATTCTGATTATTTCTGTACTCATTAATTGCATTTTTTTTATAATTATGTCTTGAATAAACAAGATCAATATATGGTTTGACTGAACATTAATATGATTTGCTAACACTGGCTTTTCCCTGGGGGGGGGGGGGGGGGGCAATTTTCTAGGGGCCACCCCTTGAGGGCGCCATTGCCTGAGAGATGCTTTATCCGTTTATTGTCTCCAACTGAACTAAAACACTGTTTCCTGCATCAAATCGTTATTTCTGGTAAGTTTTTATAGATTCAGTTGAAGTTGGACAAACATTTGCCTTTAGGACAGGCTGCTGGTTGAAAAGCGACTAAAATCAGATGAAAAATTAGTTTTATGATAATTTGACTAAAATGTAAAAACAAACTGGTTCTTCCTTTTTTTGGGAGCATTTTTACCAGTGAATGATTAAAATATTAGATTTAAATGGTATAAGAGAAAATATACTTCTCTTAACGTGTTTAGGAACAAGACTGGAAGTCTAGCCAAAATCCAAGTACACTGCAAAAATGGATTTCTAAAAAATATTAGAAATTTTACCTTTTTAACTCCTTCACTGCCATTGATGACTAAAGTCGTCAATTGCATGTTTTTACTGTGTGGGCGTCGGACGAGCCCCCACTCCGTGAGAACAAACAGCTCTGAGGCCGATCTTCATCCGCATATGTCACACGTCACGTGATCAGGAAGCAGAACATCCATGTGTTAGGAGATCTTTTTGGGCTGCTGCAGTAAAAAAGTGAGGCGCGAACCAGAAAAGCTTCTGCCGATCAAAATTCAACAACGGATTATGAAAGAACGGATAACGCTCGAAACGCGCAGATTCTTCCTGATGTAAGAGGTGAGTCTCCGCTTTGTTTTGGTTGTTTTGGCGTTGACATCATCCTAGCACGCAACGTTCTGTCACTCTTAAAAAAAACTGTAAAAAACGCTGGCAGCGAATGAGTTAATCTAAAAAAAAACCTTCTAAAAAAAACTAGCATTACATACAATGAGGTAAATATTTTTAAATATGATCCATATAAATCAAAAATGTGATTATTTAGCTAGTTTTAAGAATTCTGAACAAACAACTTTTGCTTTCCCCGCTGGCAGATTTTTTAATTGAAGAATATTTACCTCATTTTAAGTAATTAAAAAAGTCTAAAAACGAGTTTTCTTTAGTTTCTTAGAAATCATTTTTTGCAGTGTAGAAGGTGAGAACACGGTTACAGGAAAAGATAAGAGTCATTTGTGAGGTCTACGTGAGTCTGAGCTCATTAACGATCATCAGACGCGTCTTTACCCGGAGGTGTGTGTAGAATTCTGGTCCGAGAGCTTCCGACGCAGACCGTGTGGGATGGACCTCGTAGCGGTTCAGGTTAGAGTAACTTCACAGCAAAAAGAGCAGCAAGTTAAATACTTACAAAACATTTTATTTGAAATCTTGTAAACAAAGTTTTCTCTCAGCTCACACCTGCTGACGTAAAGGTCCGGCTGGTACTGAACAAAACTCTGCAGCTGGACGCTGTTGTCCCCTAAAGTCGCGTCTCTCTCCATGCTGTCACTGCAAGACAAAAAAGAGGGTTTAGATGAAACGTGCAAAATCTTAAACAGCACTGCCCTAATCCGGTTGCGTCATCACAAGTCAGCTACCTGCTAGCGACGAGCTTCATTTGCACTCGGTTGTGCAGAGATGTGCAGCTGAATTCAAACTCCAACATGAAGTTCACCTGTGGGGTGAAAAACATCGAACCGCTGAGGTGACACGCTTCACCTGAGGAGGGAGGAGCCACTTCCTGAGCTCACCTCTGACTGAGAGCGAAACACCGGATAGCTGACGTTGCACGAGTGGCTGTTGGGGCCGAGCGCCGTGCACTCAATCTTAAAGCTGTAGTCCTCCTAAATTAAAAGAAAGGCGTATTTAGAGAAACGGAGAGATTAAACAACGCTGGATGAGTCAGGACTGGATGGATGGGAGTTACTCTGATGCTGAGGCTGGAGAAATGGAGGTTGCGTGAATAGTGCAGCTTCAGGCTGGTGTTGTAGGCGTTCTCCAGTCTGTTCTGGAGCTGAACTTCCACTGCTAGACGCTTACGAGGGCTCTGAATCAAGTAAGGTTTCTGCCTGCAGAGGAAGAGCAAAGACTCACACCAGAGCAACAGAGAAATGAGTAGAAGAGCTGCTAAGATGTGTACTTTGTCCCAGAGATTTCCATGCTGGCCTGCAGGACCAGATCTGTGGTGCAAACATCATCCTCACCACAGTCTTTAAAGAACGGGATCTGAACAGGAGTAGAAGCAGAACGGGTGAAGAAATGAGAAACGTGGCGATGCTCGAGCATAAGAACGAACGAATGAGCAAGACGGACATGTTTGCACCTAAGCTGTTAGTCGCTGTGCCACTTACAGACTTGTTGACCGTCATCGGCCAGCCTTCGTCCAGAACCGGACCCGTCGCTGTGTTGTTGATCTTAAACTGCAGCGAGAAGCTGATTGGGCGAATGTAATCCGCTGTGTCCTGTGAAGGAGACACGGTTAGAATCCCTGTGAGTGTGTGTGTGTGCGCGTGCGTGTGTGTGTGAGATACACCAACTCTCACATAGACATGGAAGGGCAGCTTGTAACACAGAGCTTTCCCCGTCTGGACCCGGACCGGCAGCTGGATTTGTCGGTGTGAGATGTTGTCGAACAGAGCTCGCGCCGAAAACTTCCTGTCATCCAACATGGCTGACACCCACAGATCTTTAGAACAAAAGTTTCAAATATTGCATGAAACACGTGTTCTAAAAAACTGATTTTAACAATAATTTAGTCTCAGAAAAATGTATAAACTGCACATTTTGTGCTCTAACTAGGTTTATACATCAGATGTGTTGTATCATTATTGTTGTAAATCTACACGACATCCTACAGGAACTCTGAAGAAACTGAACTGATAAATTATCTAATCGTCTGAGTTCCCGTTTGGAATAACAGATTTTTTAAATTTATCTGAAATAAAAACATAAATTTCAATGGGAATATGTTCGCTTCGTTAACGAGTCCTACCGAAGCCAATCCCGTTGGGCCCGGGGGAGCGTGAGACGGCATTGAAGCAGGCGGTGGCGTCCAGACAGGCCGACTCCCTGCCCCCCCTCTGACACGTCTTCTGGATGACATTGATGGAATGAGGCTGGAAGGACAAACTCACATTGATCTGAACGATGCTTCTGGATCTGTAACACAGAAAGCGTCTTATACCTCTGGAGAGAAACTAGATGCTGTCACACTGTCAGTCTGCCCTGCAGCGGGGGTTTCTTCCTCACCTGAGCATCACAGCACTTCCCTGTGCTCCAACCGCCAAGTCTATCAGGTCATCTCCATCCAAGTCCAGACGTGAGCTCACACTCCGGCCAAAATACTGAAGGGACGAGGAGAGAGAGGCCCCCTCTATACGCTGCGAGGAGGAGAGATCTTAGTTTGAATTCTGAGACACACCTGGGATGTTGTAGATGTACAAAACAGGAAGTACCTGTTTATAATTATGGATTATGTAAATATCCTGTCCGTGGTAGACATAGACGGCCCCTCTGTGATCGTCCTCCAGTGGAGCTCCTACCACCAGGTCGGTGAATCCATCATAGTTCAGATCTGGAGCTGCTGCCAGAGCGTAGCCAAACCTGGCATCCTGAGACTTCCCCTCTGATGTCAGCGTACCGTTGGAGACAAACACCTGCTCCTGGGAAACAGAGGGGGGGGAACACTTGATGCATCGTGGTATAAAAAGTGATTTTTGCATGTTTATTGATCTCTTACCCCACTGAGGGTGTAGATGTAGACTTTACCAGCCTCCTTGTTTCCTGAGCTGAGAAACATCGGAGCAGCAACCAGAAGGACGTCTGTGATGCCGTCCTTATCCACGTCCAGCCCAAGCACTTCACTGCCATAATAAGACCCAATCTGAGGACAGAAACATGTCATTATGTCTCATCCTCAGCATGTAGGGGTCTTGCTTTTTCACAACAAGCATCTGCTTAAAGCTGGGCTCTGGAGCATGACGTTATTTTAGTCCACTAACGTGCACGTTAGTTTTTTTTTTTTTTAATTTCAAGGCACTCGAGGAGTACAGACGCTTCTCTCTTTCGCTCCCTTATCTTTTTTTTTTCCCAAGGCTCTTTGTCCTGTCTGCCCACAGAGCACTTCTCTGCATTTCTTCTGAAAAACTCTATTTTTACTAACCATGGATTTGATAAACTGGTCATTCAATGCGATCGATAAGATTTTTTCAACAATGAGAACGGAGCAGGGGCCTCCCACATTTCCACAGGGGACACACCCGGTGGGATATATGTTGGATTCCTGGAAGGAGTGGAAGATCGTATGCCTCAGCCAGCTGTCCATTGAGGATATTGAAGACGTGTGGATATTTGGCCTGATGATCACTGGATTTCTCCTGATTGGAGTGGGAGGATATCTGGTTTTCTGGAAACTTGGGAAGACGGGAGCGAATGGAGGGCGACCCACACCCACAGAAAGCACATCCTTGTGGAGACTTCTCAGACTGGGACGTTACTCGAGGTGAATCGTAAGCTGGACAATGTTCTAGCTGCGATACCGGTATTAGTGCGCAAAATGGATGTCATCTCGGAGAGAGTCACCGGACGGTATGGACAGGTTTAAAAACCCAAAATTGGCTTCACTGAAGGACTGGAATGATCAGTTTAAAGACTGAAGGCAGAGAGGAAAATTATCTCAGCCTGACCCAAACAAATTCTTGTTATCTGAATCTGATGCCCTGGTAGCCTTGAGCTGCAAGCAACTAAAACCCCCACGAAGGAATGCAGACAGATGCTGTGAAACCCCCCCCCCCCCCCCCCCCCCCCCCTTCGGATTGGTGGACTTCAGCCTGGCGAGGTCATCAATCTGCAGGAGTCAATGTGCTCTTCGCTTCTCCCAAGATCTCCCTCCCACCTGTGACTGTACAGCAGATGAGCGCCGTCGATGGCTGCTCTCGCTGGGGGAAACAGGATCCCAGCCCCCCCTGCCTTCCTATTGGAGTCTCATGTTATGTTGTGTTGTCTGGAGTCTGTTGCATATATATTTGAGGTGTTTTTTTGGAGAGCAAAGCTGCCCTCCTGGTGGAGGGTAACTGTGAAGTGCCTTTTTTTCCCTCCACCTGAACCAATCCTCATGTTACCCTCTTATCTCTATTAAGGTAGCGAGACTCGGGTTGCGAATGACCACAATCACCACTTCTTGTCATGTGTCTTGCCCATGTATGTCTGATCTCTGAATTGTGTGTACTGAAACTCTAATTTCCCTCTGGGATTAATAAAGTATTGATTGATTGATTGATTGATTATAAAGGAGGAGATTTAGAAATTTGAACGGCTATAGCTCCCGCCCTTTACAGGCCCCTCCCACCTGGAAGAGCCGAGGGCCACGCCTCCTACTGCATATGCATCGTTTAGAATACTAGGTTGTCCAAGGAAGATCCCGCCTTTCTCATCTCTCATTGGGTAGAAAGGCTCTACTGTGATTGGCTATTTCATTTAACAACACACTGACTGTCCTCGCTAAGTGCTGACTGTGTCCTTCTGCCACCAGCAGAAAGCAAATTTGGGGAGTTTAGTAAAGAAAATGTGAACTTGGCGCTAGAATAAACATTCTGTCCTGGTTTGCAAAACATTTTATGTTTTATGTTTCATTAAAAACAGAAAAACGTAAAATGTAAATTATAATCTAGTTGCTTTTATCAAACTGTTGAACTTAGTTTATATCTCTTGGCTCTGAAGCATTAGAGTACACAGGATAAACATATGTGCCTTACCTGGGTATGACATTTAATAAAACTGCCCTATTCTGCTCAGCTGTGTGCATCAGGTCTGTTTCTTCTCTAGAATTATGAAAACTGGTGAATAATAGGTCAAAATCATAATCAGCTTTAACTTAATTTTTGATTAAATGATACACATTTAATCTGCTGATGAGAGGTGTGCTCTAACTTGTAAACAGCCTTAACCTATTAAAGCAGGATAGCCTAATAATGAAGTAATAAGATAACCCCAATAGAGCAAACAGATATAAAGTTGGTCTACAGTGTGATAAAATGCTACAAGAATTATTACAAGTTCACATTTGATGTTTTTCAGGCTCTTTTATGAAAGAAACTGAACCTGATTTGTTGCTAAACAGGAAATGATGTTTATTATAGCGATGAGTTCACATTTTCTTCAAAAAACTCCTCAAGGTCTTGCTGTGAACACAAAAACCTGCAGCGAGGGAAAACTGTTTCCTCTTACACGAAATAGCCAATCATAGTAGAGCCCTTCCAGCCAATCAGAGGCGAGAAAGGCGGGACCTTCCTTGGACATCCTAGAATTCCAAATGACGCCTACTGCATACACAAATAGCCATATAGTGCTAACGAGAAGTAATGACTAACTACTGAATTATCTCCTCAGCCTCCATCAGGTTCTGCAGGAGCTGCTAATTGCTCGTTTTAATCAAATCTGCAGAGTTCAAGAAGGGAAACATCTAAAACCCACAGCTAACGCTACAACAGGCTAAAACCGTAGCTACGATGTAGCTACGCTAATCACTTAGCTCCAACACATAAAGGAAAAACCCCTCTTCCTCAGTTAGCTTGATGTTTACAGACTGATAATAGTTCAGTGCTGTTTGAGTTAGCATTCGAGCTAGGTCGGTGTGCTAGGGCGACTGTACGTCAGCACATCGTCCCATAGTGCATGCTGGGAACTGGGGCGCAAATCAACCCAAGGCATGTGTGAACGATTCGATTAGTTGTCGAGGCGAGACTCGGGAAATATAAGTTATGGAAGCTCTGCTTTCCATGAAACAACAGGGACAGATAGTCAAATGTAGCGTTTTTTAAATTAAACTACATCCTCCAGCTTTAAACTCAGCACAAGACATTCGATGACACAAACCTTACCTGTTCTCCATTCAAGGCCTGCATAATCTCCACATCCCCGTAATCGTTGAGCTCAAACAAAATGACTTTGCCTTTATGTTTAAAGCGAGGAGCTCCAGCTACATACAGCCTCTTCCAGTCACCGATCACCACAGATGAGACCGTGTAACCTGAAAACACACAGTCCAGCCTCAAACTCAAGTAAATAAATATTTATAAAACGTCACGATTTTTGAGTGTCTAGATGTGAAAGTTTGGTACCTAAATAAGCGGCGTGATTTTTGAGCTCCAGAGGAAATTCACTTTCGAAGGCCTCTCTAGATGGGATGATTGGTCCACTGGCCCTGTCCATCAAAACGCCACCATCCCAGTCGTAGGCACCCACAATCCCAAAGAGAATACCATCCTGAGGAAGAATAAAAGAGGAAAAATCAACTATAAACTGAGCTGACAGCTGCCACAGGAGTGACAACAAACACAAGCAGGACTTACAGCTAAAGTGTGCGTGGAGAAGCCGACCTGGGACATCTCCATGTGGAATGTGCTCTGGTTGTAGCCCATCGTACCTAAAAGGTCAACATCATTCATTCTCGTGTTTCTTTGCACTTCTACTCCCTTCCTTTTCCTTCTTTGTGCCTCTGAGGATCTGACCTTTAACCCCAACCTCAACACAGCTGGTGGTGGACATTTCCTCTCCTCCTCATCCTCTTCGATTCCTCTCAACATCTAAGGTGATGTCACTTTTCGTACGACTTCCTCAGACCTTTTCCTTTTTAAAACCTTTTCTGATTGTGTGTTACAGCGCGACTCCAAGTAATCTCAAAACTAAAAGCAACCTTTCTACATTTTATTCAAATCAGCACCTTCCAGGGTGAAGATCCGATCTCCCAGAGCGTCCACAATGTCATTCAGCGCAGCTTCGTCGGTCACGTTGAAGAAATACTTGTCGTCTGGGTCGCTGGCGATGTACTTGATCTCGTCGATGAAAGTCTCCGGGTCCTGCCCTTTCCGGATGTAATAACCCAGAACCTGAAGTCCAGGCGAGGAAAGGATCGAAAATTAGTTGAAGTATTTGTGAAAGCAATATGCTGGAAAGGCGCTAAAGTGAGGAACTGGGAGTAAATAAACAGATTATCACCACTAAAAGTCCTAAACGAGTTGTGTGTTTTTGATGGACTATGACACAGACCTGCAATGACTGAAGAAACATCCACTACAGGATCATTGGCTCATGGCTCAACGCCTGAAGTACAAACCAGAAAATTCCATAAGAGAAACCAAACCCAAGAATCTCCGCTGTGGCTCCGGCTGCCAAACACATGAAGGAAATCCTCTGTTTTTAAAGCGTAGGGGAGCGGGGCGTAGTGTGTGAAGTAAAAAGTACCTACTTCTACATATGCACGCCGGGCTCTTATAGAAGTTTTAAAAAGTCCAGAGGGGGGCTGAACAAAACTCAAAACACATTTCCAGTTATTATCATTTACAGAGCCAAGCATTCCTAAAATGCTGCACTCTCTTGTGCTTACGTCCTCCTCGTGAATCACTAAAATGTGTTTCTTTAGCAAAGACAACCTCCCTCATTAATACATCACTAACATACCTGGCAACATCCTGTGATGATGGTAGCTGTCTGACATCATGAAACCAAAGGAAGTGAGGAAGTAACTCAGGAGAAACATGCATGTGTGTCGAACATCTCCCACAGCATCACCCACTCACACATGACGCTGGCTCACCTTTACAGCTCGGTATTTTTGTTATGTTGTAAGGGGATGTGAACTCTGTGTATGCGTGCATCGTATTTTTGATTTTGCATAGATGTCTGAAGCATCGACATATAAATATTGGACAATGGGTTTCCATAGACTCAAATAACACATTTTTGAGGCCAAATGGGAGGTGGCCACCACCGCCATTTTGACCATGTCACTGGTTCCGTCAAGCCTGCAGAGGTGTGCTGCGATCAAGCCTCGAGGGAAAAAGGTGTATTCAGGGATGTGCCTGAAGTTACGTACATGTGACTATCTCTCACTGTACATACTGCTGCTTCTCATTTGGATTGCTGCCGCTCAACCATCACACTGCTGTCTATCCATGCTACTGTTCGACTTGTATCTGTAAGTCTTCACCTGCTTGTTAAGCTAATGTAATGGTCACATTGTCAGTATGCATGCTAAGCCGCGCTGCATTTATTTACCTATTTTATCGCATTGCTTAGCTGTGGTCATCAGCCCATGCTGCTGCTTCACGCTGCCGTTAGCTTCTGCTCACTCAGCTTTGTATGTCGCCGCAGGGCTCCTTCATCCTTGTCATTAAAACCATTTGACATCGAGGAGTGTATTTCTTCAAAGCCCAGACAATTCCACAAAAGGGAAGAGAGGAGGAGCTGAGGGTGGGGCTGTGAGGCTGGGATCAACTGACGACACCCAGTCGAACTAGCGACAAGCTAACCTGAAGCTAACCCAAAGCTAATGCGGAGGTGGGAGCTAAGCTAACGGAGGTAGCAACCTAGTTACAACCGGAGTTAACTGTGCACAACACCAGAGCTTCTGAGTCAGAGATACGCCGGGCTGACCGCTGGGTAAAACCGGGTGGAACACAGAGGTCTCCCAGAGCTCCACAAGCCAGCAGCCCGCGCAGCAGACAGAAGCCACAATCAGACAGAGATGCGCCGAGCTGCGGGGAGGGAAGAACGGGTGGAAAACATCGGTTTCCATCCAGACCTTCACAAGCCGGCAGCCTGCGCAGCAGACAGAAGCCGCGATGAGAAAGAGATGCGCTGGGCTGCGGGGAGGGGAGAAATGGGTGGGAAACAGAGGTCTCCCGAGAGCTCCACAAGCCGATAGTCGGAACCCAGCTCCACCAACATGTTATATTTCAACCCATTTTCAAGGTGCAGCATTATGTTAGATGCACTGGGGTTTACCCTATTACATTTAAATTTCATGGTTAAACAGTACATGTTAAAATCTAAGCTCAGCTCGGCAGTGACCTAAAATACATAAATATAATTTTACTTACAGAAAAAAATGAAGTGGAGACTCCTTGGATGCTCTATTAGTGCAATTAATGCCACAGCAAGTCATTTTGTCCAACAATTGCACAAATAATATCCAATAAAGAATACACAAACACGGAGACTCAAAATCCCGGAACATTTCCAAGCCAGACCGAGGCTCTACTGAGGCCTTTCCACGGAGCTAGCTCTGTGGTCACGTGGGTCTGATGCTCATTAATTATACAGAATTTTAGGCTTTTAATACACTTAAACAGAAGAGTGAGAAAAAAATTCACCCCCCTCAGAGTTGTCATGAGTGTAAACTAGATCATTTAAACCAAAAACATGTTTTGGTACCAGGCTGTAAACATGTTTATTTCTGCTGTGAAATTGGCATTTTTAACATGGGAGTCAATGAGGATTTGCTCTTTTCTGACACCAGCCCCTAGTGGATGAGGGTGGAACTGCAATTTTTGGTACTTCTGGGTTGGCCTAAATTTTTGAGCCACATTGTGGGGGCTTGGTCTGAAGACTATTTTTATCTTATGATCAAATCTTAACTTTAAATTAAATTAAAGATTAAATCTTAATTTATCTTAACTATTTTTATCTTCTTAACTATTTTATCTGCTCAACCATCTAAATAATCTGTATCTGTACTCGGAGTGGGCGTGGTCGAGTTTTGTGTGCAGGGAGGGGCGGGCGCTCTATGTGACTGGCCAATCACAGAGCGTGAAGACAGTCAGTTGCCCAATGAGGATTTTTCTTCAGCACGATTACAGATATTTACGAGTTTTACTCGTTTCATGCTCGTATTTGTCAAAAATGCTTTATCCGTACCGGATACTCATCTCAGAGGAGTCATCCCTATTCGAAAGAGTCCTGTGTTGTTATTTTTCGTCACTACCTCCCCGAGTCGGGAGTGGGTAATTTGCACTCCTGCTGCCTTCCTTGGATGTGGTAGCAGTTTCTCAGGCTCCCTCTCAGGAATCGAAACCTGATTCCCCGTTACCCATGGTCACCATGGTAGGCACTTAAAGTACCACTGAAAGTTGACAGGGTAGACATTCGAATGTGAGACGTTGCTGCCACGAAGGACCAGCGATCGGCCCCAGGTTATCTAGAATCACAAACGCAACCGGGGCACCCTGAGAGGGTTTTGGGTCTGATGAATGCATGAATCCCTGAGGGTCAGCGCTCGTTTGCATGCATTAGCTCTAGAATTGCCACAGTTATCCAAGTAACGTTGGAGCGATCAAAGGAACCATAACTGATTTAATGAGCCATTCACAGTTTCACTGTACCGACCATGTGTACTTAGACTTGCATGGCTTAATCTTTGAGACTAGCATATGCTACTGGCAGGATCAACCAGGTAGCCCCCTGAGTGTCAGAGACATTGTGTAGTTTTATCAATAATCTCTGGAAATATCCATTGCAATGTTGTAGTAAATGACTTAAAAGTGACTGTGTATTTTTCCTGGCAATGGGGGCAGAAGATACCTAAATTGTTGCAAGCAAGCTGTATTTTTGTGTTATAGTCAGACCTTACCAACAAATGCCCATTAGGGTCAAAAAGCACTGGGGAGTGTAAACTTTAGCAAAATGATGAGCACATCAGACTCCCTTTAATTGCTGGCAACGAGTGAAGAGGTAAATGTGTAAAACAACAACGTTTATGAATGGTGAAAGCTTTGTAACCATTTGTTACAAATCAGTAAATGCATTTTGTTCTCATGGGCTTCCGTAGAAGGAAACATGGCATCTAATATGGCGTCGCCCAGAGACTTAGACCCGCTCGCGTGTATTTTAGACTTGATTTTTTGGTTATTTGTTAAGAAGCCACCAATATTTTTCAACAAATGGGCATCATTTCGTTCACTTTGAACAACAGTTTGATAGATATTTCCAGAGATTAATGATAAAAACTACACATTGTCCCTTTAAGTATTGTTGTTTGTATTATGTGAAGCAGTTTGTGCTGTTTTTTTCATAAAAACTGCTTTGAAATTGATTGATTGACTTTGGCCTGTCAGAAAGTCTTCATTAAATGCAACAAATCCAGTAAAACACCAGGGGTGTGTGTTGGTAATAATCTGGCGATACGATATATATCACGATATGGGGGGACAATACGATATATATCACGATACAGGGAGATGATACGATATATATCATGATACCGGGGACAATGCGTTATATATATCATGATACGGAGGGACGATACGATATGTATCACGATACAGGGGGATGATGCGATATATATCATGATATGGGGGGGCGATACGATATATATCACGATATGGGGGGACAATACGATATATATCACGATACAGGGGGATGATACGATATATATCATGATACCGGGGACAATGCGTTATATATATCATGATACGGAGGGACGATACGATATGTATCACAATACAGGGGGATGATGCGATATATATCATGATATGGGGGGGCGATACGATATATATCACGATACGGGGGAACGATATATATATCACGATTCCGGGGACGATACAATATATATCATGATGTGGGGGGGGGGGGGGGGGGGGGGGGGATACAATATATATCACGATACCAGGGGACGATATGATACATTGTGATACTAAAGCCAGACTGAAATTAACTGGAAAGCTCAGGTTAGATGCTTCTAAGTGTTATCGTGAGATCTTGTCAGAATGGAGGTGGTTAAAAACCGTTGCCACCTAGTCAGGGCCAGATTAACACTTTGTTGTACCCTGGGCAACAATATTAAAGGGCCCCATCATCACAACCCCAGGATCACCATAATATGGTCACATACAGAATATTTTACTGTAATATGCAGTAAATATACTCAATACTTGAATGCCTGATATCACGTAACCCGCTCAGGGTAACCTTTAACCCACCTTGTGTGGACTGACCAATGAGGAGAGGGTCTTAACTTGAGGCCCTCTCTTCATTGGTTAGTCTGCATGAGACTGACTCTCAACCGCTCTCAACTTCCGTTCAAAGTCATAGGCAGCGAAGCATCTCTGTGCAGCGCAAAAGCCCGGGTGGACAGTTTGTTTAATATAGGGTGACCATATTTCCATTTCCAAAAAAGAGAACAGGGGATCTGTGCCTATGACGTCACACTATGGCAACGCCACACTAACCACGTTGGGACCCATTTTTTTGTAAGAACTAAATTAATATCAGATTCTGCCAATAAAAGGGCTCTAAAACAATTCATATGTAAATATTTTGCATATTTATGGCAAAATCTCATTTTTCTGCTTAAGTGCTGCAACAAGGTTTTATTAATACCGTAAATCCTCTAATACAGGCCGGTATTCAATCAATGGCCGGGTCTCATATTTTGGCCGGTGCCGGAGTCGGCGGAGGTGAATAATGACGGGTCTCTTATTGTGGCCGGGTGGAATGTGGTAACAAGCAAGTACGAGGGGCGGTTGTGTCATCGTCTCACTTTTGATTTGCCAGTGATAGACCGCAAGGTTAACTTTAACCGTGCGGAGATGAAGAGGAGGCGAAAATTTGATATCAAGTTCAAAGAGAACGTGCGCTGCAGAACAGTGGGGAGCAGTAGGGGTTGTATGAACTAGTCGACTTCACTATAGTGACTTTTTATGCCTGTCATCGACTAGTCGCTGTCACGTGATAATGACCGGCAAGATGCAGCCATCGGAAAAGACAGCAGCCTGCTGTCACCAGGTGACAAGCTCCTGCGCTCGGGGGGGCAACGCGCTGTGCCAGAGCGTCGGTACTGACACGCGATCGTTCATGTCGGCTCATTTCCTTTAATGTTTTCTGTCTTTTATTTGCGCCTGATGCGTTTCGCTGTGGAGCGGGGCACATCACCTTGTCCTCCGTTGACGCACCGATCACTGATGCGGCCGGCAAGCAGCGAGCACTCCGCTGTTTTTGCGGTCGGTAGATCTGCGTCCTGAGCACGGCCACAGTAACATTATCAAATCAGGTGTCGCCACCTCAAAAACTAATTTAACACGCGATCGTTCATGTCGGTTCATTTCCTTTAATGTTTTCTGTCTTTTATATGCGCCTGATGCGTTTCGCTGCTGTGGAGCGGGGCGCATCACCTTGTCCTCCGGTGACGCACCGATCACTGATGCGGCCGGCAAGCAGCGAGCACTCCGCTGTTTTAGCGGTCGGTAGATCTTTTAGAACTGCAGTTCAAAGGTAACTCATAAGGTGAATATATATGAACCCAGGTAGCAGTTTTTCTTTAGGATTGAGAGGAGATGCAGGAAGATAATAAACAGACAGGACAGAAAAATAGTCAAATAAAAACAAGTTAGTTTTTGTACCTGGTGGTTGCAACAAACAGACACCACTGAAGGTAATCAGAAGAGAGGAGCAGAAAATGAAATAATTATTTTAATGTTTAGAGCAGCAGGAACTCCCGAGAGGCTGCAGGCGCATCAGTGAGTTTGCGGCCGCTGCACAGGGGGAGGGGGGAGAGGGCTGAAGCAGAAACTACCGTTGTTAAAAGAAATGTGTTTAACTTTGAAAATGTGGGCGCAATTTTAATTGTCAAAAACTCCAGCGAACCATTAGTTCATTTTACTCAAATAGAAATTGAGGCCTGTCTCTAATACTGGCCCTCCTTCCAATAAAGGCCTGGAGCTTGATGAGCTTGAGTCAAATACAGGCCCGGGCCTGTATTAGAGGATTTACGGTAATACATTATTATACCTTTTGTTTTACTATAGCATCGGTAAGCTTCCTGTGCACAGATTATCAAGGATGCTTGTTTCAGCTGTGAGATTAGACGCTAGGATCAATGATAAAATAAGTTGTCACACACTCCATGGAAACTTTCAGAGAATCCACAAATAGTGGCTTTCAGATGGTTTTTGCAAGTTTAGAAAAACAGCAGATGAGACATCATGTCTGATAATTTAGAACATGTCTGATAATATTAGAACATGTCAGTAATGTCTGAGGGGCTTTTATAAACCTGTATAACTAACACTCCTGGAGAGGGTATGAATTACACAGAGACTTCTGGGGAGGGGGGGGTCATTTTGCCTTGGCCCCCAAAATGTCTTGAAACGGCCCTGGCTGTGTGACTGAGTGTTGAAGGTGATCTGAATTGTATCAGATGTATAAATATGACATGTGTGTAACTTATTGTTTTATACAGGTAAAAATGTGTAGTGGAGATAAATCTACCTACATTTTACTTTTCAACACTTTGTTTTGTTTTCTTGTTTTTATTGAACTATTTTCCTGTCCTGTCTGTCTCTCATCTTCCTGCGTCTCCTCTAAACTCTCCAGAAAATCTGCTGCCTGGATTCTTACTTTTTCACCTCATCAGTTACTTTTCAGCAGATCAAAGGGATCTCCTGACCGCAAAGCTGAGAGCGCGTTTCGATGCTGCGTCAGTGAGCTGAAATCACCGCAGCACAGGTGATGAGCTCCGCAGTAGCAGAGCGCTTCAGGCACAGATAAGACAGAAAGTAGAGAACATGTGCGGACAAGAACGATCGTGTGCTAATTATAGTTTTTTGGTTGCGCCACTTTGAGAATGGACCACGCTGGACGCAGCTGCCTGGAGCGCTGCGCAACAACGATCAGCGCTCTGCCGCTCTCTGTGCTCTCTGCTCAAGAGTCCATAAATGATGTAATATAGGTAGAAAACTTTTTTCTGGCTCCCCTGGATGTGTAGGATCTACAGCTCCCCCATAATTCGATCCCTGCTCCTGGATGAAAAGCCGGACATTTTCATCAAGAACCCCCAGTCCGGACGCCCGGACAGAGAGTGAAAAGTGGACACGTCCGGGGAAAAGAGGACGTACGGTCACACTAGTTTAATATAAAGCGGGAGATTACAGATACAGTGTTTTTGCTTGTGCCCTTGCTGCCCTGGGCACTTTAGAGTTCGTGGGCCCTGGGCAATTGCCCAGTTGCCCTTATGGTTAATCCGGCCTTGCACCTAGTGGTCGGAGTTTGAAATGCACCTCACAAAGAATTACAGTAGATGTTTGCATTTAATTCTCAATAAATAAATAAAAAACAATACACTGCTTTTAAATATCGATTCAGTATCATAACACGACACCTTCATTTCAGTTTATCAATACTTTCTCAGATCATCTTATAACGCCATAATTTCTCCCAAAGTCAGAGACTCTCTTGGTCAGTTTGCTTCTCACACCAAACCTTCTGTCAGGAATCTTGGTGTGACCTTTGACCCAGCTCTCACCCTGGATTCTCATGTCAGTTCTCTTGTTCGCTCTTCCTTCTTCCATCTCAGGAACGTTGCTAAGCTGAGTCCCATTCTGTCCCGCTCTGAACTTGAGACAGTTCTCCACACCTTCATCTCCTCACGCTTAGACTACTGTAACTCTCTTTTCACGTGTCTGAGCAGAACCTCCCTGAACCGTCTACAGGTGGTTCAGAACGCCTGTGCTCGGCTTCTGACCAAGTCCTCCAAACACACCCACATCACCCCGCTTCTCCTCCAGCTTCACTGGCTGCCAGTCAACTTCAGGGTTCATTTCTAGATCCTGGTTCTGGTCTATAGGGCCTTACATGGACAAGCACCATCTTACATTGGTGATCTTCTTAGTCCCTACACCCCCAGCAGGTCCCTGAGGTCCAGTGACCAAAGCCTACTGGTTGTGCAGCACCAGGCTAAAGGTCAAAGGTGACAGATCATCTGCTGCTGTGGCCCCCAGACTCTGGACCTCTCTCCCCCTGAGCCTGAGATCAGTGGACTCAGTGGTCTCCTTTAAAAAGCAGCTGAAGACTCACTTGTTCAAGCTGGCTTTTGTATGACCTTCTTCACCTCTCTCTCTTTATTCTGCTCTCCCACCTATTCCACCTTCCTCAGGATCCACTGATTTTCCTCTTTCCTGTTCACTCTCTCTCTTTCTTTACATTTTTTCTTTTAAATCCCAATTGCCTATTTTTGCTCATTTTAAATATATTTTTAAACATTTTCTAAATGCTTTTTTATATTTTAACATTTTTTTTGTTTTTGTGAAGCGCCTCGTGATTTTTATCTTGAGAGGCGCTATAGAAATGATATTTTCTTCTTCTTCTTCTTCATGAATGCCCCTGCAACCCTTTCATAAATTATAAAATGGATTCGTCTGTTTGGGTCCAGAACTCTTGACCCTTCTGACATACCCTCTCTGCTGTGAAGTCTCAACGTTCCCTGAGAGACAAGGAGGGGTCCCACCACAAGTGTCTGCCTGCCTCTGCGTTATTATAACCATCAGGATGTGACCACAGTGCGTTCTTCTCAGTGGAGGGGTCGGGTGGAGCCGGCCAGAAGCAGCTTTTCTTGTTGGCTATTTTAGTAGACTCAAGGGGTTCGTTTGGTTAGTTGGCCACCTTGTTTTAGAGGAGTGGTGGTGGAATTGTGCGGTTATAAACATCGGCACAATGGAGGAGGAATGTTTTCTATATTGTTTTTCAGTCAGGGTAGAGAGGACTTTTATAGGATGAATGAATGACGGAGAAGAACTCACGGCGATGGCGTATCTGGTGATGTTTCGGCTCTCACATTCCTCCAGAGCGGCTGGCAGTGAGTCCCCATCATGCGACTCCCCGTCCGTCACCACGATCATCACCTTGGTAGCGCCCTCCCTCGCTCCACGCTCAGCACTGAACGCTTCGGTGCTGCAAAGGACGGAAAAACGTGACAACAGAGCTGAAAAATATGTAAATCCGTTCAGCTGATTCAGCTGAACTGAGTTCGATTTGTACCAGGAGACAAAAGAAAGAATAAAACGCTATCAAAGTAATCCAAAGGGTTCAAATAAAGGCTGCTGGACTTCTTTGGTTTCTTGAAGATGTTTTTCTTCTCAATCAAGGAGCAGGACTAGAAAACGGGAGAGTCGAGTCGTTACACAAGAGCATGGCACAACAAAGGAGAGCTCCCTCTTCAGGTCAATACTCTGCAGTACACTTGCACCTGAAGGACAAGCTTTTGAAGGTGACAAAGTACACAGTCTGGACAGAGGAGATGGGTTGAGAGAGGAGTGAAGGAAGCCTTCTATGCCAAACAGGAAATGCCAACAATAAACAGAGGAGGTCGTCTCCGGTTTCACCTTTCCAGCACCTACAATGCAGCTCAGAACCAAACCCTAGTCTACTCTAACTGTTTCAGTCTAGTTCACGCCCTCCTGCATCTAATAAAAAAACGATTCTACCACAATAGGAGTTAACGACATCGACGACCCACTCTGGGGTAAGGCGAAGGGGTATTTAGAGCTCCGGGAGTTGACGTCACTCCTCCTGGCATGCAACAGTTCAAATTGAAACTGCGCCATCTTGGCAGGCAGTAGCCCGCAGCTGGGCTATTTCTTATTGTCAGAAAACTCAATCAAACGGGAAATATGGTAGATTCCTGTTGTGCCCCAGGATGCCAGAACAGATGCGGAGGAGATAAGGGATGAGCCTTCTACAGGATTCCCCAAGATCCGGAATGCCGCAAACGTTGGATCATCGCAATGAAACGCTTCAGCCTCCAGGCTAAAATGAAGCTGTGGGATCCCGAGAGTAAAGGTTTTCACTTATGCAGCGACCGCTTCATATCAGGTACTTAAACCAACGTTTCCTCAACTGTGTATGGTATTTATTTTAAATGCTTTCATTACGATTCTTAGCGGGCTTCCTAAACTTATTTTGGCGGGGCTTTTTCTGTCTTATTAGTCATAGCAACAAGTAAACGTCACGTAAAACGTTGCCTCGTGATTTCTGCGTGCTGCCATTTACGTGTTTTATGATCACAGCAATTAACCGGCTAAGCTGTATTTAATTTTTTATAATTCATTTTTAAGCAATGGTTGATCACTTGTCAGATCACACATAAAAAGCACTTTGGATTGCTATTATCTGTCTCACCGAGACAGATCCTGAGACGCTCCTGCCTGACATATTTATTTTATTCACGGAAAAAAATCAGACAACAAACCCTGATTGAATCCATTTGTATCCCTCCAGGGTTTTATATGCTCTTAGTGATGCTCCAGAGTAGGACGAGGGAAAATTAACAAGGATGTTATAAACGTCAGGGTATCTCAAATCCGGTAAGAAGTCCGCTCCGACAGCTTCTGGCGTTTTTAAAAAGTATCCCAGGGGCACGGTAAGGGTCGGAGATGTTTAGTCTATTTAATTTCTGACTATATAAAACGATTTATTTGGTTTTAAAGTGTTAAGTAAACTCCGACGGAGTAAAATCCAAGCCGATCCCGTTCATTTTGTTTACCTTTGCTGCCTGCCAACATGGCGCCTACTCTCTGAGAGTCCCGTGACGTCCGGAGCTCTATCGGTAGTTTCAGCTTGTAAAGCAGCAGACAGCTACAGCTCATAAGCTTGACCCTCCCGTGTTCCAGCCAGAATTGACAAAGCTCCTCGGATGAGAAGAGAAACGACTTCAAGAACCCAAAGAAGTCCAGTTGCCTTCACCATGACCAGGATGACTGAGGACCTTCACCTGTTTATGAAAGGAAGGAAACACAAGAGCATCAAGTTGCTTTGGTTAATAAAATATCAAACCAACATCCTCTCTGGGATGAAATACAACATAAAGTGGTTCTCGGAGAAAGTTAAAAGCTAATAAAACACTGATGTTCTCGGAAAGTTGCACCTGGACCTCACCGCCTATGATGCTCGACACAGATGTCTCACCTCAAGTTTACTCAGATGGGTCGTGGCGTGCTGAATGCATGTGTCATTTCACACAGTGACCACATTTGTGCATTCCCGGGTGGGTTCACTGTGACCCACAGAAGAAACCTAAATGACGAATGGACCCACGCCGCACCCTGTTTGTCTGCAGGAAACCTGTTTGTTCTAGGACCCGCTTCAAGTGTTGCACACACACACACACACACACACACACACACACACACACACACACACACGCACGCACGCACGCACGCACGCACGCACGCACACACACACACACACACACACACACACGCACGCACACACACACACACGCACGCACACACACACACACACACACACGCACACACACATGCGCGCGCGCACACACACACACACACACGCACGCACACGCACACACGCACACACACACACACACACACACGCACGCACACGCACACACACACACACACACACACACACACACACACACACACACACACACACACACACACACGGAGCAGTCACTCCTAGTGATCTCAGTCATTTTCAGACCTAACTGCAGCCCTGGCCTAAATATAACGTCGTGGTGAGCCACAAGAAACTCGGAGTTAAAAACAACCGTTTCCCCTTTGCTGTCTGCAAATAACACCGGTCGCAGGGAAAGAGAAGAAAAACAGGACGGAAGTAAAATACATGGGAGGAACAAATGCGTAAGGGACACATTAGTAAATAAAAGAAATCAAACACATGAGCAACATTAAGTTTTAGATAGTCAGAAAAGGAAAAGACAAACTAAGAATGTAAAAAAGTTAAAGATAACACGGAACAGATGACAGAGACACGCAGAAATACAGAGACCGGCCTCTGCAGATACTGTAAGAGAGGGAAAGGAGAGATGAAAGAGAATAGAAAGTGGAGCTAATTGAGAGGCCTGGCTGTATTTACTAGATATTTTATGGAGTCACAGCAGTGTGTGTGTGTGTGTGTATGTGTGTGTGTGTATGTGTGTGTGTGTGTGTGTGTGGGGGGGGGGGGGGGGGGGGGTTGGAGCAGTAAAGACACCAGGGGCTAATTGGATTGTTGGAAGTTGATTCGTGTTAATAAAGCAGTCAACAGTCGGTTTCCATGACAGCATCACAGGAATCCCAAACACAGAGGAGCGTGACTCCGACAGGAAGTAGAACCAAACAGAGCAGCATTCACAAATAACGCGTGTTATCGAATAGGGATGGACAATTTATCGGCATCAGTATCGGTATCGGCCGATGTTAGTCATTTTTAACATATCGGTATCGGGTCGATAAATAAAACCGGGCCGATATTAACAACCGATATTTTTTTCATCTTGTCTCCATTTGTTTGCCTGTTTCAGAAGAAGAGGGGGGTGATGTGTGTTTGTTTAGCCGTGTGAGCAGTGATTGTAATCATCTCAGAAGCGTAAAGGGGTGTGGTGTGTGTACATAATAATGTAAATTCAGCTTTAATAATTTTCATTGTGCTGATTTTAGAAGCATTAATTTCAGCATATCGGTGTCAGCAAATATCTGTTATCGGCCATAACAGTGATATTAATATCGGATATCGGTATGGCCCAAATTTTTCATATCGGTGCATCACTATTATCGAAGCTTATTGCACACAAGCAGTTTTAAAAACCGCCAGAGGAAAATAGTTTAATTGTGAGTAAATTTCACGAACCCTTCGAGGCCTATTACTTTTTTATTTGAGAAATCTGCTCAAAAATGACATGGCCACACCTTTACGAGTCGTTCCTGTAGCCACAAGGTCTGTTTAATTACATTTGGTCTCAGTTTAAAGGGAACTCTTGTGGGATTCGTTAACATGTGTAAATATTAGTATATGTGTTATTGATGAAATATAAAAGGAACATTGTAAAAAAAGTGGATTTCAGGATGAATTCCTCTTTAGAAAAAGGCAGTGGTAGCTTCAAAACTCAGTTAATTCATAATTTTACATCTTGACATTGGTTACATTAGGGCTGTACAAAGGTTGAGTTTGATAAAGTAAAGAACAACAATTTTACACAAGTTTAAATACAGACACTTCAGGCGAAGTCTAAAATGGCTAAATTTGGCACCATCATTTCACTTTTCTCTTGTATTATAATTAGAGCTGGGGCTCGAATTAAAAAAATTATCTAATTAATTAGAGGCTTAGCAATTAATTAATCTTGATTAATCACACTTTAATCATTCAAGACATATATACATATATATATATATATGTATGTATGTATGTATGTATGTATGTATGTATGTATGTATATATATACATATATATATATATATATATATATATATATATATATATATATATATATATATATATACGTATATATATATATATATATATATACATATATATATATATATGTATATATATATATATATATATATATATATATATACATATATATATATATATATATATATATATATATATACATACATATATATATATATATATATATATATATATATATATATATATATATATATATATAGTAAGTAAATGTAAGATTTCAATTTCATGGTTGTACATGGCAGAAATAAATACACACACACACATATTATACATATATATATATATATATATACATATATACGTATACATATACATACATATCTATATGTACATATACATATACATACATACATATATATATATATATATATATACACACACATATACATACATACATACATATATATATATATATATATATATATATATATATATATATATATATACATATATATATATATACACACACATATACATATACATATATGTGTGTGTGTGTGTGTGTGTGTGTGTGTGTGTGTGTGTGTGTGTGTATTTATTTCTGCCATGTACAACCATGAAATTGAATTCTTACATTTTTACCATAGACGGAATATAAAACAGACTGAGTGTAAATCAGCCTTCATTGTGGGTCAAACTTTAGTTTTCACATATTTTGAAATCTATTTTAGTTTAGTGAT